TGTTTTTTTTTTTTTGTTTTTTTTAATTTCTTGAGTTTTTAACATAAATTTGCACATGTGCAAGTAAGTCTCAAAAGGAGTTCAATGTTGTAAAGATTAAAGTACTGAACGGTTCAAGGAATCTTAAAAGTAAAAAGACTGAACCCACAATGGCCTGTGTAAGGTGACCCAAAGTCCAGATTTAAACCAACTTTATGCAACCTGGTATGAGTCACGGTTAGATGTCGATCCATGTGGGGCAAAGTTTGCTTTTCGCGACAACCCAGGGACGAGCTAGCCCTCCAAGCGTTCACATCCCTATTATAAAGGAATAATGTTGTTAACTCCATCAAAAGTAGAGTAATTAAATGCCTGCATAAGTGAACAAATACCATCCAAAATTTAATTCAGCAAAAGCACAACTCTGACGGTATTCGCTAGCATAGCAAAACAAAGGCCCTTTGAAGCATGGACGACTCTGCTTACCAAGGCGACTTCCTCCAAGAATGATGACGCTATTGGAAGAACACTCAACACATCAGAGAATCTTGTATTCAGAAAATGAAGCCTTTCTACGCTGAACCAGTTTGAAAGAGCTGCAAATAGAATTCCTCCTTTCCACATGTTTATTAGCTTGTAAAAGTACTAGAATAGGAAAAACGCCAGCATGACTTTTCAGTTATCCATGCAAAACCTCCAACAACTATCTTGCAAATTCAATTAATGAATAACTACAAGTCACATAAAAAATACATTTGAACTCCTGCCTGTCAAAAAGGAAAATATACAATATAGCAAATGTCCAGAAATGATAACACAAGGTCTTAGAAGACATCCACATCCTCGAGATGTTGGAAGTACCCATAGACAATGAATCGAATGGCACGTTGCCCCAAGCACGAGCTGCAAACCCACAATAACTGGTCCAAGTCAAACTCATAGCACAGGTCAAGTGTTATACCAGTGTCGCAAGAACCTATGATTTAGCCACATTGAAACTACTTCATAAGATAACTAGGCAAGGACCATTAACTTCCAAACACAATTTTCAACTTGCCATACTAAGGCAACCACAGATCAAACAAAAGCCGCTGACCAGCCGGAAAACTAGCCACGAACTACAAACAGCATTGCTAGTAAAACCGACATAGTGGTCGCTTTTCCAATAACCTGAAAGTCCCTTTGTTTTAACTTCTTGCACTTCAATCTGCGTCAAAACTCTTGCTCCAAGCCTGATTTAAGCAATTCATAACACCGAGTATTTTCCATTTTGGGCTGGTCCTGGGAGTTGGATAGCGGCTGAGGTTGATTCCTCCAGGATGCGTTTCACCTCCGCTTTAGCCTTCTTCACAGAAGCCTCAGTAGGGCCCTCAATAAACAAGAACAACCTCCGTTCTCCAGGTGCCGGGACCTTCCCAGGAGGAAATATTGACCTCGGGTAGTAATTGCCGCTCCAGTCCACTCACTGATCTGGCCCAACGCATCCTCGTGCGTAACTTTCCAGCGTGCATGTTAAGGAAAATCATTTATCTCAAGCTCAATCTCATAACTCTCAGGAGCCATATCCGCTTGAATCTTTGACAGATTATTTTGAAGATTATAGGCAGCTACCATGGCTGCTGCTCGTGCAGCGGGATTTCCATCAGTCAATCCGGCTGTGGCTGATGCGCCTGCACCAATCCCCAACATTGGAGAACCAAGATGGCCCATGGCACCTGCCATATTGGCCAGTGTCATTTGATTAGCAATTTGATGTAAATTTGAAACCTGCCCCATGTTAGACATGCCCATTGAAGCCATGATTTGAGCCATATTTGGCATCATCTGCAAACCTGGCACGCCCGTGCCTGCAAGCCCTGCAACTCCCACACTAGGAAAGGTCATTCCAGGCAGACCAGCTGCTACTACTGCCGCTGCTTGATTGGCAGCGGCAGCTTGAGCCAAATTTGCTAAAGCTGCTTGTAACTGCGGGTTGGCAACTAATGCCGGGTTCATCGGTGCGGGCAAACCAGCCTTGGCAGCGGCGGCTAGAGCCGCCGCTTGCATGCTGGCCACCGACGACATTTCTCCACCTGCTTTACGAATGCCTTCATCATCAGATTCTGTGTCTGTCTTGTCCTCCTCTTCTTCGAAACCATATTCTTTGGCTTGAGCTTTTTTGGCAGTTTTTAGAGCCTTATCTTCCTCTTCATTGAACTTAAATCCACTGCCTCCATATCCACTTCCATGAGCTTGCTCACTATCCTGCTTGATTTTCACCATAAAATCATCTGCAAACTTCTTCAGGTCCTCGGGAATTGGCTATTCTGAGAGTTCTAATGCCTTTACAAGATCTGGGACATACCTGTCCTCTTCTTTGGATATAAAGGTCACTGCAAACCCTTTCCGTCCAGCACGGCCCGTGCGACCCACACGATGAACGTAGTCCTCATAATGATCCGGAACATCGAAGTTTACCACTAGCTCAAGCTCCTTCACGTCCAACCCCCGCGCAGCGATACTTGTAGCTATCATCAGATTACAAACACTTGTTTTAAAGTCTGTGATGGTGGATTCTCTGTCCGTTTGATCCTTCGCACCATGCAACGACAGACATGGGGAACCAGCCTTCAGCAAAACTTTGAACAAGCTGTCACACTTTTCTTGAGAATGTACAAAAAAAAGGGACTTTTCCTTTCTTGTACTACTTGCCAAGAAGCTCAAGCAGTCGTAAAAACTGTTCACTATCTGGGCGAACTTCAACGGTTTGCGTAATGTCACTGTTCACAACGCTTCGTCCTCCTATTTGAATTTCAAGAGGTTTGGTTAAGACTTAGCGCGCAAGAACTTCCACTTGCCTCAAAAAAGTAATAGATCAGTCTATAATGCCACCACCGGAACAATCACAATAAGTGAAACAGAATGACAAACATGAGGAATTCGAACTCTGCAGCAGCAATACGACAAGAAAATATAAACCAAGTAACTTGCGCAGTATCACAATAGTCTGCGCACTATCACTTGTAACTTACCGAGGAAAAGTAGCTGAAAAGAGCACAGTCTGTCTATCTGGTCTAATATTCTGGACAATGCGAGATATCTGAGGTTCGAAACCCATGTCAAACATCCGATCTGCTTCATCCATTACAAGATAAGTGACACGTCGCAAATTGGTAATCTTCCCTGAACTTGTGAAAAGTATATCAATCATCCGGCCAGGTGTACATACTACTATCTCTGTCCCCCCTTAAGGTCGCAAATCTGTTGTGCTACACATGAACCACCATAAACTGGTACGCATGTCAAGTGCACTACCTTAGAAAACTTTCTGATGACATTGTAGATCTGTTGCACGAGCTCTCCAGTTGGAACCATGATTAATCCAATAGGCCCATCCCCTTGTTGAAGGGGTGGCTGATCCATAATGTGCCGGAGCATGGGCAACACGAAAGCTAACGTTTCACCAGATCCAGTCTTAGCAATCCCAATACAGTCTCTCCCACTCATTATAAATGGGAGTGCCTGCGTTTGGATAGACATTGGCTTCTCGAACCCTAATTTTTTAATTGCATCCAAAACTTTGCTATTCAAACCTGTCTGATTCCAAGACTTCAATGGACGAGGTATATCCTTCCCTCGAAACTTCAATTCTAGCTCTTTCCTATAAGCTTCAGCTTCCTCTTTAGTCGTACGGGATATTTCCTTGACTTCGATGTAGAAATCTTTACGAAAAGAAGGATACTGGATCTTTGAGTGGTCCACAAGAGCCAATTTCTTCACTTCTCTTTGCTTTAGACTTCTTCACTCTCTTCAAAAATTCATCTAAAGCAAATTTGCCATTACCCTGTTCTCTCTTTGAACCCTGATTAACTACTGCTGGTTTAGGTTCTGGAGCCACAGATTGCACAGAATCAACATTGATTACCTGCATTTTCCAACACATTGCAATCATCAGCCATGAAGCCATAAGGTTCACTTGTAAACCTAACTCACACCCCCATGCTACCACTGTCAGTTTGGATCATACAGCACTCTTTTCATGCACACTTCAATACAATAAGAAGCTCAATGAAACCTGTTAAATGCTTCTACATTTGTATCCTACCTCCGGAATGGCAATTGAATTCATGAATGCCACAAGCGGATCGATGTCTTCCTCCTTTTCCACTTCCTCTTCGACCTGGACAGTTCGAAATGGTGCAGCAATTTTTTCCGCGCTATCTTCTCTCTTCGGTATCAATTTTGCTAATTTGGCATCAGGATCACCACTTCCATTTCCATTCAATTCAGACATGATCAGGTTTCCATTCTCCACAGCTGCTATTCTGGCAGTATCTGCACCCCCAGATTTTGGCAAAAGTGCATCCTCGTCATCATCATCGGAATCTTCACCTTCTAAAGTCCAAGTTCTTTTCACGTTCTTAGGAGAAGATACAACATCCGCATAAACTTGCAGCAATCCTCTCTTATGTCAATCTTCTTCCTCTTTCCGCCGATGTGGCTCTTGCCACTCCTGCACTCTTCGTCGTCGCTTGTCTATCTCGTCAGTTAGCCTCTTCTGCTCTTCTTCACGATCCTCGTCGTTATCAGGTTCCTTCACTTTCACATCATCTCGTGATGCATCGTCTTCCTTCCTTCTCCTCTTCTTATCGCGATCCCTTTCTCCTTCGCTACTCCTTAATTCACGTTCTCGTTCTCGTTCTATATCTCTGGTTTTCTCTCTAAGCTTGTCCCTGCCCTTTCCCCTTTCCTTCTCCTTGTCTTTGCCCCAATCTCCATCTCTTGATGTTTCTCGCTCTTGCTCTCTTTCTCTCGACTTCGCCCTCTCTTCCTCCTTTCCACGCTCATGCTCCTCTCTCTCCCTCATCTCGTTTTCATCTTTTTTTCTTCGCTTCCGATCCCGCTCTTCACCTGCTTCTTTCTCTCGTTGGTGCTCTATACCCCTCTCTTTTTTACCCTCTCTATCTCTATCTCTTCCCTTCTTGTCACACTCCTTGTCTTTATCCTTCACCCCTACTCCAGCATCATCACGTCTACTCCGCTTCTCTCAACTCGCTCCTTCTCAACATCCCTACCTCCTCTTTTCTCACGCTCTCGATACTTCCTCTCTTTGTCTTTCTCTCGTTCCCCATGCTCCTTATCAACGTAATCCTTTTCACGATCTCGGTGTTTGTCTCTCCCCATCTCAACCTCCCTTTGTCCTTTCACCGTCGTTTGAATGCGTTGCTGCCGAATACTTGTGAATGCTCAATGGACATGGCAAAGAAAAATTGGACTCATTTCCAGTCCGCTCATTCGTAAAACAGGGATGGAGTTCGACCAAACCCTAAAAATTGAGGACAGTGCGGAGCCTCGCAAAAAATAAATAAAAGTCCCTCGGAGTCGTAAAGTGCAGAAGAGGCGTCCATGCACTCAAAGACTCCGTTACGTCCACCCTTCACCGCGGTCTGAAACCGTCGATCGTCCACGCTATAAATAGGCCCATGGAAGACTGACTGGTGGGGTTTCAGCTCATCACCATTTCGAGGACATGGATGAAAACCTTTTTCAGAGACTGGGGTCTTTCTAGGGTTTGGGGGGACGCAGGGTGTGCTTGCGGAAGCATGTTCTGCGAGAGTGGTGATTAGTTCATACCATTGCAATTGCGGAGGACGGATAGCGAGCGATCCAGTGAGCTAACGAGGGAGGGAGGGAGAGGGATGGGAGACACGACCTTGGAGATAGATTTGGGCACGCAGCCGTTCGATTTGGCCTTCCACCCCTCGGCGAACTTGGTGGCAGTGGCCTTAATCACTGGACATGTGCAATTGTATAAGTATGGTGGAGACGGCGGAGAGGTGGCCAGGTTGTGGAACTCGGCTGCGCACTCGGAATCATGTCGAGCAGTGAGGTTTGCGCAAGGCGGTCAGTTTGTGTTGACGGCTTCTCCGGACAAGTCCATCCTCGCCACGGATGTGGAGACCGGGCAACCAGTGGCTCGGTTGGCCGATGCGCATGGCGTGCCTATCAATCGGCTAGTAAATTGCGGTGACACTACGGTAGCATCTGGAGACGATGAAGGCTGCATTAAGGTGTGGGATACGCGACACAATAAGTGTTGCAACACTTTCGAAGCGCATGAAGATTTTGTGGCGGACATGGAATTTTTGCCGGGTAGCAATCAGCTTCTCGGAGTTGGTGGTGATGGCATACTTTCTATTTGTAATTTGCGGCGGAACAGAATTGATGCGAAAACGCAGTTTGCGGAGGACGAGCTGCTGTCGGTTGTTTTGTGCAAGCATGGACAAAAAGTTATTTGTGGGTCGCAGGATGGGGTTCTGTTGTTGTACTCTTGGGGGGCTATGGCGGATTGCAGTGATCGATTCGTAGGGCACCCTAATTCTGTCGATGCTTTGTTGAAGGTCGACGAGGACACGCTTCTTACGGGATCAAGTGATGGTATTATTCGCATTGTGAGCATCCTGCCGAACAAGATGATTGGAGTGATTGGAGAGCATGCTGATTTCCCCGTGGAGCGTCTTGCGTTTTCGCACGATCGGAATATTTTAGGAAGTGCTTCTCATGACAATACCTTGAAGCTCTGGGATGTTAAGTATTTGCATGAAGACGATGATGTGGATGAGGATGCATCTGAAGTGAATGCTGCTCCAGTAGGAGCTTCTACAATAACCACTGCTCAGCCAGTACTCGCTGGGTCAGATGATAGTGATGATCAGATGGAAGTTGAGGAATCAAAGCAGCGGAAAAAGAAAGGAAAGAAGGGCAAGCAACGGGATGGTGGGGGTTCATCTAGGAGCAGCTTTTTTGATGACCTATAATACATGTTACATTTTAATTATATTTTTAAATAGTCATTGACACTAACGATTGCGATTAGAATTGCAACTGTGCCCAGGCGTGTTGTATCACTTCGCATGTGGTCTAACAATGCTTCTGGTTAGATACGTGCCGAAAGATGTGAGTAATTTTGAGGAGGGTTTTCCGTCTTTGTGCTACAACCATTTTATATAAAGAAGTGTGAACCTCTTGCAGTTTTTTCTGTTAACTGATCGTGACATCGGATAATATATCTGAAGATATATGTACTTGACATCATGATTGCTGTAATTCAATATAGCGCTCTATCAGCATTCTGTAAAACCTGTTTATGTTACAATCCGCTTCTAGGAACGCTCAGTGCTCATTGTTAACACTTCCTCTTCAATGGGTTATATCACTTCACCGTTTGAAGTTTCACATTCTACATGAGGGTCGTCACAAGATAAGGAACTTAGGTTTCGAAGCAATACACCACCCAGTGCACTTCCTTTATGAATTCTTCGCAAACCCATCTGAAATTTACTCCGCTCCATGGTAGCACCCCATGAAGGGTACAGTAGTTCTGTTTACTTTCTACTACGTGTTTAATACCCATTTGGAGATGTGAGTTCCTTAGCTTGTAATTCTACTAAGAGAAGATGCACTCGGTGCAGTTTGCAGCTCAAGGTCTTCGAGTGTTTGATGCAGCGGAATTGGGTCCTTATTGGGAACTCTGAAGCTTCGAGGTTTTGTGTACAAAATTTGTGAGTTTCGACGATGAACAATCGTACACATTTATTATACAATAGGCACTCGGATCTAAGAGTTTCGGGTTTGTACTCAATAAGCTGCCGAGATGATGAGCGACGGATTTTTGGGAAATTAATTGTTGAAGGGGACCTTGTTAGTTTGGAGTTGTCCTCTTGATTACGCCAACTTGGAATTAGTAACTCTGATCTACAATCTATTGGGAGAGTTGTTGTTCGACTTGTTTTGTATCATCTTGGCAGCTTCAATTCTTTCTTTCCGACACGTTCGTGAAGGAGACATGGTGAAACATCTTCCGTTGAATTCTCTCTTCCGCCATACTCTAGATGGGTCAGATGTCTATTGCTGGAAGATGTTTTTGTGATGCTTGAGATTTTCTCTAAAATTGTTTGAGAGAAAACAGTGTGACCATGTCGACTATGGCGCCTTCGCCTCCTCCTCTACCTCCCCCATCTTCGACACCTGCAGTACAGGGTGCGCGGGTTACGCTGCTCATTCGCCATCTGCCAGAGGGACTGATGGCCGACACTCTGAAACGTCTTTTCTCGCACTATGGCGCCTCAGATTTTCGTCTGTGTACATCGGGAAGGTAAAGTCGTGTTTCCGATGATTGCTTTAAAACTGAAATAAAAATAAATGTACTTTAATGAAAATATATGGTTTTAGGTTTTGGGTCCCGTTGACCTTGGCTTTGTCTGTTTTCTTGTTTCATTTCTCTTGTAACCCTAGCCTTCTTTGAGCGTGGTCATCTACAACGTGACTCGAAGTATGTGTGCGTGTAACAGGCTGAAGAACTGTGCTTTTGTGGATTATGATAATGAATCTGCAGCTGCAGCTGCACAATCACAAATGCACAGGTATGCTACCAGTAATAATTACCCTCCAACTAGGCTTGAGATTGAGATGCATATATCGTGCGTACTTCCTCAGCAGAATGTACTTTACGAAGTTGAGTCCTCTGCACTGCTTCTTCTCACAGTCTGCTAGAGAGATACACGCCAAACTTCACACGAGGCATAATGTTTTTTATATCGTTATATAATCAGGATCACGTAGCTGAAATGGTCCTGAACTGTGTGGCAGACTGAGATTCTTGGGTAAAATTCTAAGTGTTGAAAGAGCGATTCCTGAATCAAGCAAGGATGGCTTATCTGGAGACAGTTCAATGGCGAGAAGCACAGACGCAGGGGCTGATACTATCCCTCCCCATCCACCTCCAGAACCTCCACTTGTACCTCAGACTAGCGAAATTCATCAAGCAGGCAGAGGCGCAACAGGGATGGAACCCATTGCTCCTGCTCTGGGGGTGGATTACCCCTTTCCTCCTCAGCTTGAGTACGGAATGCTACCTTCTAATTAGAAATGAAAGATCATTTTATCCTTATCCTTGTTTAGGGTGTTGATCATGTTGTAAACTCACTTGTTATTTGAAAATTGTAAAGTTGTAAAATTATTATTCTTTAGAGCTGAAACCTCATCTTTCACATTTATATCTCGTAGTATGTACACAGGCCCTTGCCCTCCTTGCTGTTGTCTCTCGCATTGGATTCTAGATCACTTTCTTGAGCTGCTTTGTGGTGCAGCATGAGGTACGAGTCTGTTTCTGGCATCAAGTCTTTCAGGTCGACTTGTCTGAATGGGCTACTTGTGTTGATTTGCAGGTATGCGTATCCCCCTCCGGATGGAAATATTCTTACAAATATCGTGAACACTCTTATTGCAGTTCCACGGTTCTATACACAGGTACTTACCCTCCTCTATAGTTTTTATCTCTTGTTGTATGTAGTGTGTGTTGTATTCCTGGTCCTTATCTTATTGTGGCAGATTTTTTGCCACCATTCTGGACGGACAGACAGGGTAGCAGACTTTTTGAATCACTCAATGAGGTTGGGATCTAACAGAGGTGGGTAAATTCTTGATTCAAGGAGTCCTTGCTGATGAGTGCGAAAACGTTGGTGATGAATATATTGCGATCAGGTTTTGCATCTAATGAATAAAATGAACCTTCCAGCTCCATTCCGTCCTGCTCTTCCCACACCGCCATTGCCACCACCTATACCAGCTCCCCCAGTTGAAAAGCGACAGGCGGGTGAGCTGTCTAGTGGTGAATCGGAGCTTGAATCAAGTGACGAGGTTAGTAAGAAAACAATGGATTCATACTTTTAGTAATAGGCAGCTAGTATACTGATTCCAGTAGGTACTCTCAAGTGATCTCTGTTGGCATTGAGTAGGAGCCAGGTCTTATTCTCAATTTACAAGAAAGGGGGTTTTAATTGTTATTAACATATTTTTATAAATTCATTCCTTGTGAGCATTTACATTTTGTTGTATTTTGCTGTCGCTTTTTAATATTATAGGAAGACAACAATGCTCCGGGTGGGGAAGAAGAAAGTGTTGTACCTGACAAAGACCTCGACGCCCATAGAGCAAGAAGAAAGCGAGCTAAGTTGGGGGCTGTAGTGGGTCCTGCAGTGGACAAAGATGCTTCTCATGAATCTGCAGGGGTGAAGTCTATTAGTGTTATTCCAAGAGCTGCTCCAATCAAGAAGAACAAACCCGTCATGCAGGTGATTTCCTAGCATTGTTCTCACCTCAGGTTTCGTCGGTATCATGGTCATTGTCCACACTCAAGTTTATATACTGATTCCAAGGACTAATCTTTCTTTATTTTGTTTTCTGCACCTGGATGGTAATTGTCTCAATCCACAGCTGGAATTTGTCGATTATCGTAATTCTAACAACGGACTGTCGAAATGGTTAACAGATCAAGATTTCAACCAAGACCTCAGCTAGTGAAGGACCATCAAGAGACATCAGCTTCCAAGACGAGATGGATGTTCCCAGAACAAAAGTAGATGATTCCTCTAAGAGAGCCTCGCGGGCAGAACTACAGGGTGGCCAAATGTCTGAGGCTGAAATGCTTGCTTTGCCCATTCTTAAGGTGAGCAACCTTTTAAATTATCAGAGTATCTATTATTTTCTCTTATGGTCTTGTAAACTAGTCAATGTTTATGGTGTTTTGTGGAATACTGCAATAACTTCACTCATAGAATTTAAATAAAGATGGGTGGCGCTCAATACTCACATTGAGCGCATATTTGCACCAATAGGCACATTCAACAATTTTGGATTAGAGAGGAATACGTGTCTTTTCGTAACCTCTTATATTGCTGGTCAATATTGTTGGAGCAAGATGTTACCTTTAAGGTGTGAGAACATGAGTTGTCTAGCATGGATCCTATGGGAGTCGCATAGGGTAGGAAATGTTCTCATGGCGAATGACTGGTACTTAAGTGCATGTTTTATTGCTTGAATTCACGTCATGATGAATTTGGTTTGGTTCATTCACAAAATTATCCATGCCGTATGTAAGTTCCACACATCGAATGTTGTAGAGGCTAATGGATTTATGTATGTTCTCTATTATGGATTTGAAGAATTACGCTGCGGGAGCCCCCTCACAGGTTCTTTATATCAAGAATTTGGCAAAAGAAGTGACTTCAGAGGATCTCTTCTATGTCTTTGGTAAAGCTTTGCTCCTAGTTGCTGTATGATCAAGTCTTGTTTCTATGAAGTTCTTAGCATGCTCAACACTTCAACCTTGAAAGCATTGATATAATCTTCAAGACGAGTCTGTCCTTAATCCATTCATGGTGCTTTTGAAGAAATCAAACCACTGCTGCTCAACATGTGAAGGTAGTCTTTTAATTGCACTGTGCCTCCCTAATCTTTGATACACTGTCTTATTCTCTGGTTACAAATTTCTCATTTGTGTAGGCGCCTTCTTTCCAACCCTTGATGAGACAAAAGCTGCTTTGAATGTGAATCTCATGCAGGTATACAAATGCTCACCTTTTTGTTTCTCTCATTCTAGTTCACGCTCCACTTATTAAGAGCATAAAATTCTTTTAACCGTGTTAAATGTTTTGGTAAAGATTTTACAGCTGATCCAAATGTTGATTGCATATGCGACTTTGATGAAAGAGTTTTTTGGAAAGAATTCTTACACTGGAGTTTGTTGTGGCTAGTGAGAGAGTGCTCGACATAAAACAGGTGTAACTAACTACCTAGGAAAAAGTCCTATTTGTGGGATGGAGTTCATGTTCTTATTCCAACGCGGGCTTGTTTGTGAACTGCTGGCAGGAAGGGCGAATGCGAGGCCAGGCTTTTGTAACATTTCCATCAACAGAGGCCGCTCAAGATGCTTTAGTAAGTGCTGCAACGTCCCATGTTAAGAACATTAATTTTCAAAACCCTTCTTTCTTTCCTTCTCTCCGAACTCCTTTTTTTGGAACGTCAATTCCTGTAGGTTGAATGTAGTTCATTGGTTTTTTGCTTCATATCTATAATTGGTGGGAGCTTCATCGACATAGACAACAGCTTATATGTATGTATTAGTTCAGTCTCAAATTATCCACGCGAGTGTTGATTTCACACTGCTATGGATTTGCAGGGTTTGACGCATGGATTTGTGCTGAAGGGTAAACCAATGATAGTACAGTTTGGACGTAATCGCTCTGCTGCCAAGACATAGTTAGAGATTTAGGGGAAGTGGATCCTGATGTTTTTTTTATCTGCTGCATACTCACGAATTGAATCTCAAGTAGCTCCTAGCATTCCTCGAAATTGAAGTTCCACATTGCTAAGCTGTTGCCAGGCGGTCACAAAATGACTGGTTACATCTTGTACCGAAAAAGCGTTTCATGAAAGCTTTAAGAGCCAGAATACACCGTTGTTGTGGGGACTGGTTTGCGAGACGATGAGGCGCATGATATTTGGTCGTTTTCTACAACGATAGTATTTTTTATATTTTGCCCAATTGTTGTAGGCATTGAAGAAGCAAAGACAATGCGTTAGTCGTTTTCCTCACACCATTGCAGGTTCCACATTCTTTAAAGAGAAATAGATCAAGAATCATAGGAATGTGATAATAACTTTTGCAAAAACCTGTAACAGTTTGTCTTCAGTTTACACCGCCATGCGACTTCCAGATAATGATATTCATGGAGGTCTTAGCAAATTACTTCATTAGCAAAATCGACATCCATTCCCCTAGGCATGATAAAAGGAGAGACTGACGGGTATCGACTGTCACGAATTATTCATGTCGACCATGATCCCAAAAGAGATTGCAAAACATCATCGACACCTATGACAAATTTGGGATACAACACCATGTCCCAAATCAAGCGAAGATGAAACAATCATGGGCGCTTACAGAAAACAGCGGAAGACATTGCAATCTGAGATCAAATACATTCAAATCTCTTAAAGCATCTTAGCCTGCCAACTCAGGCAACAGATCTCTGGTTCAACGTGACTACTACCTTGACCGAGCTATTTATCAAAAGTTTCAACATCGAGCTGGTTGCAAAATCATGCCTCGCAGACATGCATGAGGGCTGATAAATCATCAATTTTCTGACAGCAACACCTATCCATTGTCATCTTCCTACATGGCATTATGCAGCATAGCTTTGGAAAGTCTGTTGCATCGGAAGGGAACTAAGGTTTAATATTGACAGTACATATTTGTGCAGACCACTTTATCAATATAGATTCTTTGGAGACTAACCCGACATCTCCAATGATCTAAAATTGAAGTTGACATATCAATGCCACAGGCCGAAGACGCGGCTGCCTAATTGTGAAGAATGTTACAAACTTGGAAAGTAAGAATTCAAGTGTGCAGCTAAACCTGGAAACACACATTTTTTTTCGTAAGAAGTTCAGCGGGTGCGGGTTTATTGTACAGTCCAAAAAGCCTAATCAGAGTCACTTTCGGCGCTGCCCATTGCTTTCAGACCCCTTGGCCTCTGCAAAATTAAAACATATTCGAAAGTCAGAGACTATTTACAATTGAGTCACAACCATAATCGAAAAATCAGTTGCATGTGCGGGAAAAGCCAACAAAACATGACACAGATTACAACATACCTTCTTGATGGATTTTTTCTCTCTTACTTCATATCGCTCCCTTGTTAAGTCGCATAGCCAGCTCCCGGGGCTCATAACCTTTTGCATACAATGAGGCATGTTAGAAACAACACAATGCCAAGATAACAAGTATCAGATCACCAAAGCAACATGCACGCAAAGTGAAGTGAATCACTAGAAAAGACGAGAAAAAAATTCAAAAAACAAAATCACTCACCTGAAGAGTCCTCTCCACATGCTTCAACCTTTTCTTGGGTCTAATTGGGAGCTTGCAACCCTTGATAGCAAAAAAATCATCCTCCTTTTCTTTTCGAGTCAAAGATATAATAAACTTTGGCCACTGGAAAAGTTCCATGTCAACTTTCGCAGAGGGGGCTGCTTTTTCCAGGTGACCATTTGCATCAGGTCTAGTGCTGACAGTTGGGAGGGCTCCTGTACTGGGGTTGCTGCCAGAGGTCTTTTCAGGATTCGCAAGTGGTGGATGTGAGCTCAAATCTGCTTTTCTAGTTTTGTTAGCTTCACTGTCGAGGACACCGTCTGCATCTACATTTTTTGCTGTATATGTCGCTCCATTTCCTTCTGCATCTCTGACACCTCAGATCGGAACATAACAACCGAAGGTCAGATTCCTGGACTCTCTGCTTTCCCCTTAAAAGCACTAGTGGATCAACAGAATGCAGCACGACAACGACAAAGGCGCAGTGTGAAAAAAGATGTACCTCCTGCTACTTCCGTTAGTCGACTTCAGTGGCGACTGCGAGCAAGGGGCAACCGCTGGTGCTTTGACATGTGCAGGAGCTACTTTTTCAGCCCGTACAACGCGTCTATCAGGTCTTGAAATCAAATTCTTAATTCCAGATGACTCCTCCACATTAGCTTTGGTGTCTAATTTAATTTTGCGCGTCCGTTTTTTGTGGCCCCACTGGAGGTTCACTCCATCTGGTTGGGGTTGCTTCGGACCCTCTTCCGAACCCTCCTCTTCCTCCTTTACACGACCATTCTCAACCGATTCTGGTATTTTGGTATCAGAGCCATTCAGCTCCTTCGCTTGATGTGTTTGGCGAGAAGAGCTAGCTGACTTTAATCTGTTACCCGGCATTCTCAACAAAACTCTTCTGTCCCCAAGCTTCACGCACTCTCCGGCTCGATTATCATTCCCAACAGATTCCTCGGTTCTTAAAATCTTATCGCCGGTCCTCTTTGAAAACTGTCCAGCGTGTTCCGGGAAAACGTGTCTGCATGTCGAGAAAACTCTTGTAAGAATTGGATAAGCATAGAACTTGACACTGTGGACACAAATGCCACGTTAAAACCATGCGATCCTTTGATACCTTCTCCGATATCAAAGGTCCGCGATACCAGGTCGCCTGCATGGACTTCACCCGGAGAGCGCCAGTGTACACAAAACAATAAAAAAACAAACGCTTCAACACGAGAGATACGGGAAGAGAAATGTGCTTCACCGCTTGCTATAGCGTACAAATAGCTATATGAGACTTAGACATCTAGTCGTTTTGTGCATGATATTCGGTGGCAAAATCTACAGATTATTTTAAAATTGTATCCTCGATAAGACCGACGTCAGTCACAATCCACGTTTCAGTTACCAGCCCTCAGGCAGAACTAGGAGTGGATATTTCTTTCAAAAACAAATACATTAGCACTCTATACCCGCATAACTTTGCAGCGCTCGCTTGAACTATCCAGAACAACATCTTACAGTATGCAGAAGGTTGACAGGCAAGCAAACGAAACTTTCTGTGGCACCAACGGAAGAGACGTCCGACAACTCGACGCTAAACCAAAGCATAAGAAAAAAAATCTTCACAACCACAACTATAACGTTCCGACCCGTCCAACGGCTTTTGGCCGCACTCACTACAAAAGGATAAAAAAAACTCTCAGAAAACTTGTGTTCTCTTCCAGCGTTCAGATCTTCCCTACTAAGAATCACCTAAATTTATCTTCCTATTTATCGTGAACAATTTTCAATAGAACACACAACCGGTACTGTCAGGTACGATCCAAGAGAACTCAGGATAAGTTGAGTGCCTATCCTAACCCCCCCCCCTCCCCGCAAGAAGCAGCTCCGTTCTACTTTAAGAACCAATATGAAAACGAAACTACCAAACATACACAGATTAGAGTAGCAAACCTCATTGCTATGGATGATCACTTCTACAGCGCCCGATTATAAGACCGCATACAGGAGCCTCCGCACTTCCGCACTTCCCAACAAACAACATCAAGAGAGAACGTCGCAACTCTGCACAGAAATTGCAAACAACACAACGACCATCATCATTTACCCGCCATTCCTCTCCTTCTCCTCCTCTCCACAGACTCAAACCACTCCGGATCTTCTCCTTCTCTTCCACCACAAAACCGCCTTAAAATTCGTCACAATCTTACACCGAGTCCCCTAAACAACAACCTCCTCTTCAGCCCCGAACCAATCTCCGCTACCTCTCCACACAAAAAAACCACCACAAGGTACCACCACCGCACCAACCTCACTTAATCAAGCCCTACGACACAACCCTCGCTCGACATTCAACGACTCCAATGTGCTCCGGCGCTCTATTCCTGAATGTCTCTCTGCACTTGGCTCCCTCAACAATATCACACCCTCTTCAGCGCTTGTGTAGACACAACACGATGGCAAACCAGCCAATTCTCGGAGAACAGAAACCATCTACATTCGTCCATTCATAGTGTCAAGGTTCATCCGTCTCGGGCGGCCACGAGGATGACATCCGGCGCCGACGGCGGCTCGTGACCGGCAAGTCGAGAGTGGTAAGAGAAACTGGTCTGTGTTAAAGTTTCTGTAATATAGGTTTTGATCGCGCCTAGTGTTGTTGCCTGTGAATTTGGTGAGTTTTCGAGGCTCTCGTAGTGGATTCAAAAGTCGCCGTCCATCTGTCGCCAGAGAGGGAAAACCCTTCCTCGCGTTGTGGTCATGTACCCGGTGAAGGTTAGGGTGGCATGAGGGGATTCTTATTCTGCACAGGTATCTGAATCTCTCTCCGATTTCTGTCTGCGCAGTGAAATGCCCCCAGTGACATGATAGATTGTTGCAGGGCCATCACGGTTTGGACAGAAATCATGTTGTAGGCAAATCTTGCAGAATTTAGCTTCTGCTCTGCGACAATCTGGTTATGCTAAAGCAGGACTAGGTTTGGTGGGTCGTCAGGGATGAAGAAGCTCCTTCGATAACGCCGTTGTCGGAATCGTCCGACTGGATGTGGACGTTTGCTTCTCTATTGTTTCCACTTCTAGTATTTGTCTGCAACAGTGCTGTGATTCGGATAGCCTCGCTTAGAAATTTACATCAGGCGCAGTTACGTAGATGAACTGCGCCGAGTTATTCTATACTCTGATGAAATTGATGAATTCTCCATTTGTGATCGGCTTGTGGATGGATGCAAGTTGCGAAACGTCGGCAAGGAAGGTGAGCCGGTGGAGTTTTTGATAGCTTTGAGATGATGGATTGCTAGAATAGTGTTCGCCCCTCGTCCTAACCACTTACGAGAGCACGCTCGTTAGTAGTGGTCAACGCATCACCTACTTGGCCCGAAAATTCCGTAGTTGGCGAACATAATCGGAACAAACTCGGGAGACTGCACTCCACAGGAGGTGGCCACGAACGGCAGTAAAGTGCTGTGGCACCTCATGGAAATAGCTGCAGGCTCACCTTCCATGAACCACACCTCGACCCGCAGAGCAATGGGTACTGTAATCTGAAGAAGAACGCATTTTTGAGAGTCGCTTCTCCGATTTGGAGTCTACTTGGAGCTAATCCCTTCTTTCTTGAGAGTAAGATCTAAGGTTCATACACATCATTAACCTTTTTGTCGTCAGGATAATTGTCATGATTTCCTGTTCCTTCAAAGTTACCAACCTGCACAAGGATGGAGAACCGTGACTGTCTAGCGCAGATTGCTCCTACTATGTCTGTTTCAAAATTGTCACAAACTATACACAAGGTTTTCAGTGCAGTCTTCTTTAATGGCACGGTTCCCTGAGTTTGTGCTCTCTTTAGAAGTGTCAATCATTCTATTTTGGGGTACATCTGCCTCGCAATGTTGTACAGTCTCCTTCCTGCCAGCGACTCAATAACTGGTTTCGACTTTCCAAATGAGGTACACCTAAGCAGACCATTCGTCAATCCCACATTGTCTTCAGGGCAACCCGAAAGGCACCCATGCCGAACCTGGAATTGAAAATTTGGTCGGGCAAAAAACACGAGCGTTTGGAGCGTGCTTGCATCAATTTTACCGGGATGCCCACCAGCTTGGAGCACATCACGTAAGACCTGGCTACAGCAGCACACTCCTAGTTAGCAACAGAGAGCGAAAGCTCAGAAGGAATGAATTGGAACACAATGACGTCTGCCTGTTCAAGAGAAGAAAAAGATGACTTCAATCATTGGACCTGTCCATTCAATAGGGCACCCCCAAATCACGAGAAGGTTTTGGGACGGGAGCCATTCACGGAAAAGTAGCGTAGACGTATGCAGACAAACTAAGGGCTAGATGAATTATGAGAAGCTCACGGACCTGAAGACCCCGACCCAATCAACTGGATCACTGCTCACAAGCACAGCCACGATCTGCCTCTCATTTGCAGTCATGAGTGTGTCGTCACCAGCCCCATTTTTTTTCCGAGAGTTATAAGACTGAAGGAGATCAACGTGCTGGAACTGTTCCCAAAACTTGTTTATCTTTACAACCGCTCTGAAAAAGAAGAATTATACAATTTCAAACGAAGTATGAGCCTCGCCATACCGGCATCCTACAGCAAAAGTTCTCAAAATTGACCTGTCCAAGAAAATGACTTCAGATCAACTCGAAAAGGTTTTAAAATTCACAAGAAATGTTTCAGCATGGGATTTCGGCTCAAGCGAACCCGTAAACTGCCAAGGTCGTGTCTGGCTCAACTTTGCCAACAGCCGTATTGCCTGCGACCTATATCTGCATTCGTAAATAACATCCTTCATTTTTGTCAAGTTTAATAGGCTTGCAGCTGCTTTGCACAAGTAGATTACTCTGATCTTGAAGAAACATAACTAGAATAACAAGACCTAAACAGCAAACCGTTGCAAAAGTATGAGCATTTTGCAGATATTCTAAACTGTGAAATAGAAGACTGAAAGTTGGAAACTAACTGCTTTGCAAGAGACTTGTAGTGTGGCATAGGATTACCTGCAAAACTTCCCCACGACTAACAATCAGCATCATAAAGCAAGAAATGCAGGAAGAAAATGTGCTGTTAGAATACATATCACCACAAAGATTGATGATAAAAAAAATAAAAATGAAATAAAAATCAGTACATCAAAGGCTCCAGCCCTGTGATAGCGCCTGAATAGGGTGCACAAGGATTGAAAGTTGCCGAGTTAGTAGTCCCACTCTGGATACTTTAATTACCCCTTACACCTATAATAAGTGCATACATTGAGCACAAATTACTCCAGTATCAAAAGGGTGTCTTCCAACTCTTTTTATTTTGAAGATGACCACGCTACTGCAACAGTACAGAGCATAAGCTAGAATCCCTCGAAATCGAAAATCGAAGCATTATAATGTTGGCTGTTAGGCAATGAAGCGCACCACTAGTGAGAAACAGATGTGGCGCATGAAGCTCTTCTGCAAAACTGCATACCACAAACCTTCGATTAATGACTACTCAGAGCATCACGTGGCCTCCGTATTATTTAATTGCCTCGTATAAACACACCGTCGGTGTCAATTGCAATGGCAAATAAGTTCCTGCTAACACTGACCCCACTAATAATATCGTTTCAAAACCCAAGTCTCTCAAGACTATTTCAAGTCATGCAGTAAAAACGAACAAATCCTCCCATTCTACTTATTTCTTCAGATTTAATTATCAAGTAGAGAAAATTTGGCGTTCCTTAAGACAGTTGTGGTGAACGGAACATAATGGAACTTTGCAAGATGAACTTACAGGTTACTAAGGATTGATTCTTCGAGAGTGTCTTCGCCGGCTTGTGCCAAAGCTCTAATTACTCTCATTCTCAATGAACTCACATTTCAATACGTACGACTCTCAATTCCAAGATTTTCCAGCACAAATGCAGATACAATGGATTGCGCAGAAGAAGCACAAAATTCCCCTCGAAAATTAGGGTTTGGAAGACCTCCCATCTAACTGGAGGGGGGGGGGGGGGGGGGGGGGGAGCAGGACCATGGCAAGATCAATGAATTTCAACCACACTGCTGCGCTTAACGCGACGTCTCGCTGTAAGCAGAACCGCAGCGGCAGAATTTGCCAGATTAGCAAAGCCACCCTCTGGCCCGTGACAATCGAAACACTCTTTGCAGCCATGGCTTCTCCGCCTTCACTCATCCACATCCAATCCAGAAGTCTTGCATCTACACTCCACCTCTTCTGTCAAATTTTCCTACGTCCATGCGCTGGTTGACAACATGCAGCGATCGACTAAAAACACAATGCCGAAGAAAATTCAACACACTCGTCGACTCTTGATTCCAGTTCCAGTGACTTTCAATTCCTTCCCTCTGCCGACCCATATTTCTCAAGACAAAATCTCCTCGGATTGCTATCCCCATTTCATTTCTCGGCCATGTTATTGAACGCCTTCACCGTCGAAGCTCTCCGCGAGGTCCAAAATCCACAGCACATGGACTCATGGACAAAAACCTGCCGTCGCGTGCGGTCAGAAAGAACTCGAAGAGTAAAACCCTAATTTCATTGGTGTGTTGTATTTGTTGTATTATTGTTTATGCTGCAATGAAACTCTGTTTTTGAAGATAGCAGCATAAAAACCAATCTGGGAATAGCTTGTTATTGTCAAAATTATCCTATTATTTCTGGTTTTGAACAATATATGCATAGTTTAATTAGCAGAGTTGTTAGGAAATCATTTAAAAATTACACATTTTTTATGTGGGCCGTTGTAGAAATAATTGTGCAAGGCATGCTATGGACCCAAATTGTGAGATCCTTCTTTACAATCACAACTTGTGGTGCCAAGCTATCAACCGTCTTCAAATTTTGTAGAACCAGATATGAATTAAGGAGCTTTTGCTTGTTAATTTTCTTTCTCATAACTAAGGTCTTATGAATATATGTATGTAAGAATGTTAATAGTTCTACATGAAGATGTTACTCAATGAATGTTTAAAATCTAATAAAAAATTTAAATATATAATGTAATGAAAAATTTGAGATGTGTGTTTCAAATTTTTAACTCAACTACATTAGATCCTCTTTTGAAGTGTCTATATATGTATTATTTAAACTTTAATTAGGAATATAATATTTAGCTACAATTATAAGTTAATTTGGCATCAATGTATTAAAAATGTATTACTTTAATAACATCAATATTTTAAATAAATAAACTTCTACTTTGTTTGTAAGATAATATATTTCTTTTTTAGTAACAAACAACACAAACATCTTTATAAAGGAAGTAATTTGTAGTTACAAAAGAGTCGGTAATATGTGGTTTTTAGTATGTAAGTAATTTATGTTTTTGATTACTTTTAAACACTTTATATTAAGTGAACATATTTAAAAATAGATTAAAATATTTTATTGAGAATTTGATTTTTTATTATGAATATATTAGAAAAGTAATGATATTTTTTTTTTCATTTTTACTATTTGGATAATAAAATAAATTTAAACAAAAAAAATACAAATGAACTTTAATCTAACACAAAAAAAAAGCATGTCAAATTTTTTTGTATGTTAGAGTTAATATAATTTTTATTTTATAAAACAATTATATTTAAAAAAAATTAAAGCCATTATTTAGTACCAAGATAATGGCTCTTTAAACTATTATCATTTTTCTTATCAATCAAATAGAATACAAAAACATGAATAACCAAATTAAAATATTAATAATTCATAGGGTTTTATTATATAACCTACTTGTACTTCAATTTGATGACTCATAAGTAAAACATGATATCTTTTGCAAGGTTTTAAAACAAAGTTTAATATAGGTTTTTTTTATTTAAGTTTTATTATTATTCTTTTTTTTTCCAAAAATATTATATTTTTTTATAAGTTATTATTATATATGTATATATATCCATTGTTCTTTATTATAATTATGGACATTAAAAATTTTATGGAATTACTTCTTTTAGACTTCAAATCTATTATTTAATCAACTTAGGTAAATCTATATACAAATAAATCTATTCAATATAAACAAGAAAAAAATAATAAAAAAACCAAAAAGATAATATATAAGATTGTGGTTTTATGAAAAATAATACTAAAATAAATGTATTAGGTTTCTAAAGAAAAGATAATATAAGTGTTTCTAATTTTTAAATCATAATATTTATGTTTTTATCTTCAATTAGTAGTATAAGCCAATATTTGATCTCATACATTGAAATACATCTATACTTATTACTATATAAAGTGAACCATACATGAGAATTTCTAATTCTTTTCACTCAAAAATAATAAAAAAACTGATATTTGAAAATATGTTGAAGATTAAAAAAATAAAATAAAATCAAAAATAAAATTGGAGGTGTTTACATGAACAATAATATGAAATTATCTATTAAAAAAAAAATCTATTTTTGAAATGGAATAAAACTACGAAACAGCAAAAGTTTTTAGTATAACTCAACTTTATATTAATTTACAATATTGAATAATTGGAAGTTTTCTGTTTGGAAAATCATAAAAAATAACTAATCAAATGAAGTTTAAATAGTGCTACTATTTTAAAATAATATCCTATTTGATTTCACATGTAAAAAGGTTTGATAAAATTAATAAAGAAAACACCACACCCATCTATAGCAATGAAGTAATGTTTTGTTGTCAGTTTTTTTATTTAGTTTTTAATGTTGCTATCCGTGCATAGAAATCTTAGGGTCCTACCTGGGTCTAGATTGCCAACTCCAAATGTTGCAACAATGCCTTTAAAAAACACAAAAAAATGTGTTTGGAAAGGGTGTCCTAGAAATGGGAAGTACATTCAGGGCACAAGTCACAATGAATAATATGATCTCAAGAATGAACTTACATGGATATTCCTCAGTACCATATACCCACTGAATTTGAATCAAGACTACTTCAATAAAATGAAAACAATATTTTCATAAGTGATGCAACTGACAGGACCCGACTTAGGAAAAGACATGTCACAACAAAAATAGTGAAGGACAAATGGACAAGAACATTATCTTGTATTAACTAAGATAGGCTACAATTTCGGAGATGCAAACAAGTACACAAACCAATGTTCTGTAACTAATTTGGCATAGGGTGGATGCTTGGAGGAGAAAGAACGCACATCAGGCTTTCTGTACATCATCAAGTACTTAATAATTTCTCTAGACCTAAGGTAATCAACATGACGCAAATTACACAAGAAAAACTTGCTACAAGGCTAGCCAGTTGCTTTTCCCACAGACGAGAGTGGGTGTATCCACCCAGGCGACAATAGTCAGGCTGTGAATAAAAAGCACCAAAGATTTTGAAATGGTAGAATTTATACTACACTAAAGGTAGTGTAAGTGTAGATAATTGTGGCGTTAGAGTAACTAATACCATTTGGTACCTGAAAACCATATCGCCAAAGGCTCACATCACTGATGCGTTTCAGAATTTAAATCTAAAAAAGGTGATACTATAAGACTAACCGCATGACGCTGATTTGCCACATGGTTTTGAATAGAAAGACAGGCATGTAGGCAAGAGTCTGCATCTGCGAAAGCAAGCGTCCATCGCCCGTCTGCAAGTTGCTTATTCTTTAGGCTTGTTTTGGGAGAATGCAACTTCCCTACGTCTGCCAAAGGCTGGTGGGGTGATCGAACACGTAAATGTAGCCAGGTTGCATGCTTCTCATCCACTCGAGGCTGTCAATTACAAACCATCCAACACAAGATGTCGAGTTTGATCTCAGCCATAACAATGTTTGCAAAACTTGTGAATGGAAAATGATATGAAGAAAAACCAGCTCTTACTCAACATTTGCAAATATAACAGCTCGAGGAATATTTTCACTTAAGTAGTACATAAACGAGTCGCCCAACTGTACATGATGGGACATGATAGACCCGATACTTACATCTGAGCCTGCCAAAGGGGCAGTGACACGGATCACCCCACGGTTCTGCTTGAAGGCAATGCCCTCTATCAATAGTAATGACCCTGAGATTCCTCCAGATACCACAACGAGATGTACCTGGCGTTCTTTTCCTCTTTCAAAGGAAACCTTACATGGCATAGCGTCATTCACTGCAACTCAAATCACACCAAATTATACGAAAGCATTAAATAAAGATAGAGGTTGACTTACTCCACCTTGTCCCAAAAAATGAAACACATAAAAAATAAGGTGTTCCGGGCTTGCTTACCAATATCCACCTCCGTGCCAACTGCTGTTGATAAGATCTGTGGTTGAACTCTTGCTTCGTCTGGTAACTCCATCAGAGGAGGCATTTCTGGCAAGGTACCCTCCACCAGGAGAACTCGAATTTGATAAAGAACCATCAAAACCTGAAATCATTCAAAGATTGTCACGAGTGGTGGACAAGATGAATACTGAAACTAATCCAGTAGCAGATGATTCGCGGATTTCTATCTCACTTCTAGTTCACCAGTTGACCAGACTAGCTCACTTCAATTATTACTGCAAAAGAAAAAATCTATGAAATGAACAAAGCTTGAAATCAAATAAAAGTTGTTACACCATGTGTGTGTGTGTGTGTGTGTCGATGAAAGACGCTGAGAGCAGAAAGAGAGTTTGCCGTTCATAAATATAGAGTGTACAGATTAAATTTACCTTAACAGATGCCCGCATTCTTTCTCCAATATGAATAGAGGAAGTAAGCGATGAGTTCTCTGCATGAGGAATACCGAGTATGAGTATTACACTCTCAAGGCTGGATCAGGTATTTCCATTAACAGTATCACAACATGCATGTCAAAGAAAATTATTAGAAGTGCTACAAGCCCTGCTCGCACGAACTAATACTAGCTATGGAACCAAAAGAAGTGACAGATGAACCTCCGTCAGCAGTATGGGAACTTGGCATCAACACAAACGAAGCGTCCTTCTTGAGCACAGGTACGTCCAATGCTGAGCACAAGAGAGAAAATTAGACGCTGAGCATATTATAGATGCATTAAGCAGGAACAGTATCTTTACATATTAAATGCAGCACCATTGAATACGACATATTTCTTTCATAAATACGTCCGCATAGTTTATCTGAAGTTAAGAAAAAGAAAGTTTTTTCCTCCAATTATTCCAGATTTCACGTCAGGCAACCAATATAAATAGCAGTTGACTGTAACAAGAGCAATTATTACAGCGTTGCAGGATCACCTTTACGACAGATTTTCCACTCTTCTGTAATCACTGCGGGAATAATATCTGACCAGCAAGCTGTCAACTCAAGCGAGAACTCTTGTTGAGCGGATGAATATACGTTCTACATCAAAATAAAACTATCATTAACAGTAACTTCATGATATGCCAAGTCAAAGCGCCAACCTTTAAATTGACCCCCCAAAAAGCAACTCATTCCAAGTTACAAGAAAAACCAACATGAATAACGACATCAGAAATCTACACTCCACAGTTTAGAGACCTCAGTTTAAAACATGAATCATCAAGTAATGAATGCGACCAAGTTCACAAATTAGTTATTTAATGAACACTATCACGACCATAAGTAAGGGTTTCAAAGCACAACCATAAATAGCAAATTTTAGAAGCTGATGAAGATAAATTAATTGGAGTGTGAGACACATACATTTAGCAGGGACATGTGAGCATCACTGATTTTGTGTTCTTGATATGGCAGAAGCTGTCGAAGCAGCCATCCCGCCTGCCACAGCACCTCTGCGTGGGGTGGGGGCCTCCGACACACCAATTTTATCAGTGCTTCAAGCATCTGCAAAAAACAAGCACAAAATAAAAGTGAATCTTGTCAAGACCTCGGATTGCTTCTTTATTCGTCATAGCACCTTCACAAAATCGTACAAGAGCCTGGGGGAAGGCCATATAAGGAAAGAACGTGACCCAAAATAGCAGAGTAGAAATGACTGAGTTCAACAGACGAGACGTGGACAGCTGCAACACCAAAACAACCCCGTCTACGGAGGCTTGTATAACCGGGAGCGAGTCTCGTGCCAACTAAAGAGAACCTCAATATAGTACACTGGATTCCTAGAGGGCAGAGAAAAAATAGGTTAAGTGCTTGTTAAGCATCTGCACTCTCAGGCGGCCATTTTGGCAGCTGGGTTTCTTTTAATAAATTCCTAGTAAATAAGCACTAACTCGTGTTTTTGCCAAAAATCCATATAAATTCTTCAGTATCAGTACCTGACTCCGATGTTTCAACGTGGTTGACCCTGACAGCAATTCATGCCCCAGATGATTTTCCCAGTGATCACTCTGACAAAAGAACATCATATCAGTCCCCCTCAGACAGCTTTTAACGCTGAGCCCTAGCAGCTGCTAAGGCGTCAACCAGCTCCAAAGCAGGAACTAGTGAAAGCTAAAGCACAATGACCTCCACACAAATTTGAGTTATAAACAAAGACGTATACAAATTCCCAAAGATTGCTTTTGTTGCGCATTCAAGAGTTTAAAGCAAGCAATGACAACGCACAGAACGTACAAGCAAGATCCAGAATAGGTTGCATACTATGAGACCATACCATAAAGTCATCATGCGACCGTTCCAAGCTAGGTGAGAAGAGTCGATCCAGATGCTTATCCGAATTGTCACCAATCAATTGTTGCTGAACAGCAAAGGTTAAAATTAATGAAATTGTCACCAGATCAGATTAACCTTGATAATTTGCACCTAAAAGACTAGGTTATGACAGGCTTATATTGCCTAAAAGGCCAAAAAGCTAACGCAATACATTTGCAGAAAGTTGCTAGCAGCTACACAAATCGTGAGTACGACGTACCAAAAGAAGCTTCTTATGTCTTTTCCGACGAGGAAGAATTCCAAGAGCATCTAATAATGATTCATCCAAAGCTGCCCCAACAACACACCAAAATCATCAATTACATGTCCATGATTCTCTAAGTGCCACAACTTCAAGAAAGGAGTAACAGATTCACCTTCATTTTGCAAAAAAGAAACCGATAGGCATAAGGATGCCATCACCAATTTGTCATCGTTACAGAGAAGATAAGAAAGTAGTGTTGTCCTGCAACGCAAGGGACCAAACATAAGGTACTGATGCAGCAATAAAAAGAATACATTCATATAACACCCGGTTAAGAAACACATAAAAATAAAAATAAAAAACAGGAAAAATGGTCTATCCAAAATGAGCTTGGCAAAGATACAATAGAAATATGAGGAACATACTATTCCAAAGTAACACAAAACAAGACATAAGAAAACTATTCAAAAGAAAATGCAGTATCATGAACACGAAGCTAATCTGTTCATGTGCACGACTAACCGGCCATCTAGGGCTTCAGAAGAACTCAGTACTGTGGCAGAGTTATCAGATTCTGATCCCGCTTCTGCTTCTCTACCAAAATCTCCAGCTTCATCCTTTTGATCTGAGGAGCACTCAGGATGTTGAAGTTGTTTGTGATCAGGAGTGACTGAATGATCCGTCCTTAAAAGCGAAGCCCCAATGCTGTTAACTAAAGCTTTGTAGTGCACAATATGCAACAGTCGCAATAAAAGATATAGCGATGTCAAAGTGCTGATATGCTTATCCTGCGATTAAGACCTAACATTAGGCCACTCGTATCATTTATGCCAATTTAATAAAAACAAATTTTAATTTAAAAGATGAACCCAACTTACTAAAAATAAAATACTCAAAGCATGAATGATAACATGTAGTAAAGCACTTCACGCACACGCAGTTGGTAAAACACAGAGAAATAATATGAAATAAAAAATGACCCCTTGCCTTCTCAACAACCTGTCACTTGTATGCCAAAAGAAAATAAACTAAAGTGAAATACACACACACACACACGTAGCATGCATGTATCAGGAACAAAAAGAAAACCTGTAATCATATTTAAAAATCAAAGAAATTGCATCAGCAAGCAGTGAAAATCGTACCGATGGTATGATGGCATGTTTGTCGACAGGACGCAAAGATGGTAGCAACAAAGGCAAGACCAGCACATTCATGATATGCTTAGTCATAATGGACTTCAGGGCAGGCACACCAGAATTTATGATGTCATTGCAATAATACAGGAGGTCCCCAATTTCAGCAACAGCTCCTTCCAACCTTCCTTGCATATGTCCAGAATCTGGTAATCTGATCATTTAATGAGGTTAGAGAGTCATTTTTACTGATGTGAGGCTAACAACAGCAATAATAACAGTAACAGGATCAACGTTTAACAACAGTAAAAATAGCCAAGCTGCTTGTTGATATCCACATGCACTTCGTGTGTCCTGCAAGCATGTGGTCTCTACCCGTTGATACTTTTACAGATGCACCTCAGTTGCTATAAGACAAATAAGAATAATCACTTGCTTACAAAATATTTCCGAAAGGAATACAGAATACTCACTTTGAGACCTCAGCTACCAGGGCATCCAGCGCATACGATTGCTTTCTTAGAAAAATTACAAGTTCTGAGAAGTAGTGCACTACTGCAGGGTTTGTTACGAACATTCGGATGCTCTCATCATCCACTGTCCAACCCATCATCACCGACAAGAGAACCAGAAAGACGTTAACAACCATAATGCTTCTAATCATAACAACTTATAGCCTGTTCGTGAAAGCACATTACTTAATGTAGAATGAGCAACTATTTTCAACTCACCATTATATACACTGAGAGTAATTGTTCGAACAGCAATGCGAACCATGCTCTCTTCATGGTGAAAGAGCTTAATAGCTTCAGTATACAAGGGGAAGGACACTACTTCCTCCTGCATAGCAACAAGGATGTGAACAAAGAAGGACTTGCAGAAAACACAAGGATACATGCCGCAGTTGCATTAACTGAGCATTGACTCAACACACCCCACGAGTAACACAAATGACCCATCATCCGAAGTGGTTCTTATGAGATGTTACTTCCAGAAGACATAAGAAATAGCTAGTCGCTTGCCACACGTGTTGCCATCCTGAGTAGTATTGGTTTTAAATAAAAAAATCCTGAAGTGATTGTTATTGACAAGACAAAGGAATGGATTGACATTAACATGAGCAATCATAAATTCAAATTGAGAAAAGGAGAAGTTTCACAGACGTTGTCGGTTTTGATGAAAAATGAAACTGTGTTTCGGTCCAATTTCATGCTGATCGTCCTGCATCCAAACAGCGACAATAGGCTGGTTACGAGGTATGTGGCACTAATCTACCAAGGAAGCACTCCATGCACATTCTAACGAATGAAATCACAATGCGACGTATGGAACTCTCAAACTGCTATTTACGTTACCTCAGGAAGATGATATAATAGGCGAGAAGCTCTTCGTGGCGAAAATCGTAAGGAAACGTAATAAGATGATTGATATATTCATTGCTGAATAAATAATCTGGACATAGGTACCCAGAAGGTGGTTTAAGTCTCAAGTCAGCAAAGTTAAACATCCTACACATGATGATATAAATTAGGTTACTCAATCTAAGTAGATGCAAACACACCTAATGCATGATATGCACTCCATGGTGTGACCAACTCGTGAGACGTGTGACCACATAAACCAGCTGTTCCTGAAGGAAACAAACACAAGCTATCTAACCCACTTGGACGCACATAACTTGAACTGCCGATAGGTAAAAAATACTTCTAGAAATAAAAGGTAAAGCACTAGAACATTTTATATATATATAGACGCAAAACCACCACAGTTTCCCTTCTGAAAAGGTACAAATCAGATATTACACATACATATGGCGTGTTCACTGCGTATATTTTGAATCATAATGCTCAGCGTTTGCAGCAGCTGTACAGCTACAGTGGGCGATTTTCTGTTCGCCTTCAGAATGCGGACAAAAGTTGCCATCACCTGCTTCTCCATGAAAAAGCTGTACCCTCCAGCAAGCATGTGCTAGAATTTAATATATTTCAACATACTATAAAATGTGATGCTAGATATACTACATCGACCAGCACCTGCATCTACGGATACTTGAGCAGAGCACCATGTTGAAAGCCTAGGAACGTCCCCATGACGAAAACCTACAAAGCTACACTTCATCCCACACAGTTACAAACGCGAACTGCAATTTTGACGAATAATATATCCATGTGATTACGAAACGCCACCAACAGGACTACCAGGTCTTACTCAAAGAATGTGGGATCGTGCTGATCTCCCCAAATTAAAAGTTCCGCCATTGACCTAATAGTCTCCACTAAATAGTCCTGAACAATCCACAAAATTTAGAACTTCCTAATTTACAATGATAAATGGTAACGCGTGCAAAATTATGTATTCTATGAGTATACCCTGCTGGGAACATAGAAAAGAATTTGGTTGTAGCATTCCCAGACATGTGACGTTCAAAAAGATACAGAAACTCCCTTCAATTCCATCCAAATCACATTCAGTTCCAACAGCCAATAAGCAATTGTAACAGCCCTCCGGAACACATACTTGTACGGAGCGAGCTCCCTCAGTCGAGACTATAATTGTCATTTTTTAACAACTCTTATATACACTAAACAATATTGGTTACCAAAAGACCCAGGTCTGCGGCTCAAACCTTGTTAGAATCTGTGACCACAGCTGCCCTTTGCAGCTGATCGTTAAGGTATCTGAAATCAAAAACACAGTAGCTAAGCGTGCCAGAATTGCGATCAAGCTAAGAAATAGTGAACGATCTACCAAGCATGGGTAGACTATCAGATGTTCCTAAAAGAATAGCATTCTACGCAATGCAATCACAATGTTCGGAAAACAATTATATGACAGCAATGAATACGTCTCGCTCCTTTGCTCGCACACCACATGAATCTCAATACAAAACATTCCTTACAATGCTCCAAACTCTCCAAACCTCTCAAAAATGCGATCATCGCTAATACACAACCATTTCTCAAATTTCTAGTCAACTATTCAGCCCTACTGACAGCGAACATCTACAAACCCTTCACTTTCCTCTAACCTACACCAAATGTCAACACTCTGCCCAGCAAAACTAACTCCGCTCAAGCTCTTTCACTCACATAAGCTCCTCCATCGAAAACCGCTCGCGGGCGCGCCAGAACCACATGATGGCGTGAGATAGCAAGCGTAGACAAAGTGAAACTAGGGCGCTCCTGGTCCTCCTGCTCCTCTTGCTCCCGATTCTTCCTGCAATTCAACCGTGGCTCCCAAAACCTAATCACAAGCTTCTGTTCGTCATTCCTTGCAACCCAACCACAGCCCCTCCCACTTACTACATCTTCCTGCGGTGCCGCATGCTCCCTCCTCCCCATCTCCCCGAATTCCTACTCTCTTCCCATTCTCCCACCACCATGATCCATCCATTCCATCCCTTACATGGCCGCTCCGCAATCAAATCTTCCCAATCAATCACCCCGACACGGCTCCTGCTAATCATTCTACGGTCCCCCTGTGTCGCAAATCAATCTCCCAGGTGCTCTGCTCCCATCTAAGCTCAGTTTGAAAAGAAAGTGCCTTCCTGCAGCTCTCAAGTGTAGATGAACGTCCCTGCCTAAACTCCCCGAACCCCACAGTTCATCATTCATCGGAGTTCGTTGGACGAGATTTGATGGGTGTCGTTAGATATGGATGCAAAATGATCTTCCGGTGCTCGGGGCCTCATGCTGGCAGAATCCAGCCTCTTCCCAGAGCGGATTGGACACTTCCTACATTCCTGGTTGACTCTAATTGAAGCATTAACTTTCGAAATTTCGTTTCTATTTATGTCATTGTAAACTAAGGTTTGCGAACACTGGTCAAGTTAATTTTACGGTACTTTCAAAATGTTGCTGGAGGTCAAAACACATACACATGTGAGACTATTTTCATCGTCTGTATTGATTTGAAAAGAAAACATGGCGATAACCTTCATCTATGTGGCTTCGTGACACATTCTCTGTTTGAACTCTCCATCTAGTGCATGGATACACACATTCTTAAGAAGTTTCTTTTCTAGGTACTTGTCTGTCAAAGTCAAAATGTTGCTGCGGCATTCCGTATCTTGGTGAGCTTTAGATTGGAATAAATAATCAGGACTTGCACAATTTTTTTTGAAAATCCACAGTCCATGCCGTGAATTGTAAGTACATAGTTGCCAAACCTGAATAATCGAAGCCGTGATGAGAAGGTAGTAAGTGCAATCGTGCATTCCAAAAATCGCAGATATTTACAATACCATTCCCACAACTGGAAATACGGAACCAAGGTCAAAGTATTGCATTAAATACTCGAATTACAATATTAATAATTTTCCTAAAAAGACAACTCTTGCAAGTATGTGGCTTGAATATTGTACAATACTGGAGATTGTGCCCCCAGCACAAGAATGACCTAAACTGACCGATCAGCGTCAGGTTTTGAGCTGGAGGACCAAAATTCTCGACAGATAGGCATGGTGCGTGTATCATGGTGTGGGCCAACAACTAAATCATTCCGAATGGCATTTTCGGAGGAAGCTGGTTTATTAACCTAAGCAAGCCTCACCGTGCATGATTTGAATGTGTAATTGAATGGAAGGGACTCAGTGGGATATCCCGTCGAAGGCGAACCAGCTGCAAGCTCACCCCAACTGATTGAGGGCTTTCGACTTCCATGTGTTGGAGGCAGACATGATGAAAATCACGCTGCATCAAAAGAAGTAAGAGAACAGAGGATTCTTCATCTACGTCGCAACATCTGCCAGTAGAGGTTCTTTCAAGGATAAAAATCCATCAGGGAACCGATTCCACTGCGGATTCGACTTAATAATCGCATCTTGTAGCATGAGTAGTTTGGATGTCCTGGGATCTCCAAGCCATGCCCGGACAATGTGACCAGCACAAACCAGCCGACCTTCGTTATATCGGCCTACTTGAAACGGAGCTTTGATTTCTAGTAATCTTGATTCTACAGCTCTCTTCACGGTGCTGAAGCCCGCAACTTTGCTGTGTTTACCCCATCCTGTCAAGATGCTGAGTACTCTAGGTAGAGCATGACCATCCCAGACCAAAGCTCTGAGGTCAAGAAGCCAGACGTGTAGCATCGCTTGAGCTGCGCCTACCGACATAAGGTGAAGGTCGAGGCAGAATTGTTGCTCTGAACGCCACCACGCGTTCTCCCACACTTGGCGTCGCTTAGCAGCAACAACCACTTCCTGAGCTCCTTGTCTCTGTTCCAAAATTTTAAAAAACGAGTGGAATGTAAGAATGATTTGCCTAGCAAATTTGCGGTTACGACGCCCTACACAGATTTACTTGTTAATTTACATTAAGATAAAAAAGAACGCACAATTTGAAACTCGACATCAAACCATAGGCTAACTTGTCAACTGAGTAGACCAATACTAGTTTTGAAAGAGCCTAGTGAACCGCGTAGTGAAAAAGAAAAGTCAGCAAAGACGAAGCAAACCTGGCCGAAATGCCATAAGACATCCGTAAGAGCATTGTAAAATGCTGCTCCAGTAGCGTAATCCATCCGAGCAATTTCATCGAACAATCGTTGCGCTTCAACCCAAACATGTTCCCTCAAACCCATCAACAGCCCATGGGCAATACCATAAACCCAGCTATCGAAAAATCGCATCTGCTCCAGCAAAACAGATGCCTCTTGCAATGAAGAGCATCGACTGCAATGAACCACAACCAAGTCGGTCACGAAATAATGCCATAAGAACATTATTGGAAAGTCGAAGGTTAATGGGGCTCAATCGACGTAATACCACTTACCTGCAGGCGTTCAGGATTGCGGAAAACGTGACAACATTTGGTTTCAACCCAAACTGCTGCATTTCATGAAATACACTCACAGCAGCCAATACACCAGTGTGATCATTAGCGTTCTGCTGTGAGGTTAAAGTCTTGCAGATTATTTCAGTGCTCCTGTCTCCTACTTTATTGAAGACATTGATCGGCATGTTGCCCTTTGCGGCTTCGACGTTATCCACCTGCACAAAGCTTGCACGGTAAGCATACAAATGCTAAGACTTGCAGGCGATAAAAACATTCACCACTGAACAGAATGTTTTCGAGATGAAGCCATGAATTAGCCAAATCTAAGAAACCAAAACGGAAACAGGTACTACTCTTCCCGTATTATACCTGACCGTTGCGCCCGTAAGCGTCAATGAGTGAATTGTAGGTCACGATATTGGGCTGAATTCCCGCCTGCGTCATCTCCTGCAACAAGACCACGGCGTCTTCCACTAGACCACACTTGCAGCATGAGTCGATGAGTGAACTGTACAGAACAACATCTGGTTTTAACCCGGCGCGCTTGAATTCGACAAAGATACTTGTAGCATCTTGATGCATGCCAGCTTTGGAATAGGCATCAATCAAAGCCGAGTATGTCAACACGTTTGGAACCAAGCCCTCCGCCTTCATTTTATCGAAAAGTCCCGCAGCATCCTTGTATTTCCCTTGCTTCCCGTAAGCATCAATCAAAGCATTGTAAGTGACGACATCGGCCTTCAAGCCCACCCTTTCCATGTCCTTGCAAGCCGTCAACGCATCGTCAAACCGCCCAAGCTTAGCGTAAATATCGATGAGTGTGTTGTACGATACCCGATCCGGACGAACACCTGACTCCTTCATGTCATGATACAAGCCAATTGCTTCCTCAAAGCATCCCAACTTTCCGTAACCATCAATCATGGTGCTGTAAGTGACAACGTTGGGACTGATGTTTTTCAGTCTCATTGACGACATAATTGAAGCGGCAAGCTCCATTTGACCGCCCTTGCAAACAGCGTCAATGAGTGTATTGTAAGTGAAAATGTCTTGCTCAATCCCTCTCCGCTGCATTTCAGCGAACACACGCTGGGAGTCCTCCCACAGACTACCTCGACTGCAAACTGCAATGAGTGAGTTGAAAGTGATACGGTCAGGCTCCACGCCTTCTTTCTGCATCTCTTCAAATATATCAAGGGCTTTTTTCAGGTCAACACCCCCTTTTCCACACGCATCTATGATAGTGTTATACGTTATCAGATTGGGTTTGCATCCCGCCTTCTTCATAGCCTGGAACACCTTGAGGGCCTCGCGACACCTTCCACTCCGCCCGTAAGCACTCACCATAGCCGAGTAGGCATAGACGTTGTTCCCGAATCCCGCCTTCTGCGCCCTATTGAACACATCAAGCGCTATTTCGACCTTTCCTAGACGCCCTAAGGTACTGATCATTATACTCGCTAGCTTACTCCACTCGCTCCGAAGATGTCCTTGCTGCACCATCCATTCGTACCCCTGAAGCGCTCGCTCCCACTCACCCCGATTTCCTAGCTCCCGCAGAAGGTAAGGAAAATCTTCCAGGCCGACAAGCTGGTGCGACCACTTCTCCAGCAACAACGCCGTCGAATTACCCGACATAGATGGCGCTGACAGGATCTCCTGCGCGGCCATGTCCGCCTCGGGACTGTGTTTCCCCATGTACAACTTCTGCCGTCCATGATGAAACTTACTCACCAACCTGGTTGACCTCCTACCACAGAATTCCGCATTTAAACCTCCAGCAGTAGTTGCGGCGGATGCAGTCTGAGACTGCTGCTGGTGTCCGGGCTGCTGATGTCCCCATCCTGCCCTACCGCTACCGGCCACGGCCACTCGCTGCGCTACCCACGCATCGCCACTGTGCTGACCACCTTGCCTCGTAGTCGGCCTCCATCTCCCTCCCCGGCTACTGCTCGCAGCTCCCTTCAACGCCGCACTACCATGGCCTCCTACCACCACACCCACACCTGCCGCGGCACTCGCCGCCTTGGCCTCCGCAGACAGAAACCCCGCTCCGCTCGCCATCACAACCTCTAGGGCTACTACACCCCCTTTCACAGCCGCGATTTTTAAAACACGTCCCAAAACTCACCCAACTTAAAAACGACTCCACAGAAGAGACCTTGTCGCGAAAACGACACAACAAAATCCCCAAGCCCGAAACCCCACCCACACCCTCACACTCTTCCCCCAACTCCCCGCCCTCCTACACTACCCTTGCCCTAAACACTGCGACAGAGTCATCAGAGTCATGGATCTGACTCTCGAGGAAAACTCCCTCCACGACGAGGAAGGGATGCCCATCTATCTCTCTCTCCACCTAGAACCTCTTCATGACAATGAAGGAGCCCAAATGATAAGTAGTCACATCACTAGAGCTAGTGTTAGCGATTAACTTAGAATGCCCTCAACGTCGACCACCTACCATTACTGCGAGAATCGCGGTGGCTCCCTTAGGATGCCATGCTTTGAAAGGTCCGTCGACCGTCCCACCTCAGCATTATCCCCCCCTCCGCAACGAAATTCCATTCCATCCGCACGACGCATCTCATCCCCAGCGCCTCGGGCAGCCGACGAACACAGCATCAGGGCAGCAGCCTAGGGACCCTTTTTGGCTTTTGAATTCCAAGCCCGTTTCCCTAAAGCCCGGTCTCGCGCTTGGCTGCGGGCTGTCTCTTGGGCTTCGAGCTTCTGCACCTTCTTCCCAGCTTCTCCCGGTTCGTCCGCCGGCTCTGTGCCTGTGTGAATATGGATCTGGCGCGGATCCACTGTAGCCGAGCACCTCTTCTCGAGGTCCTGCGTGCCTCCTGCATGGCAACTGCGGCGCTGGCACTCTTTATGGGGAGATTCCTCGTCACGGGGCAGTTGGGCAGCCCTTGGCGAAATCTCGCTTGCCGAAAAAACCCACCTCTGCAGATGCCTTTGGAGTTGGAGTGCAGTGCGGTGAGCGAGGTTGCCATGCGATTCAAACTCAACCTAAAGATCTGAGCTCTAAATCGGGGCTTTTCCCAGGGAATGTTCACCTAATTCCCTTCCTCCGTCTATTCTGGGACTCCGTGTGCTTCAGGGTTTGTGCTGTGGCTACTTACCATGAGGAAAGCCCCACAAAGTGAGACCTCATCGCTGCTGGAGAGGAGATGCGAATCATGGATTTGCTTTGTATGGGACGGTACGAAAGTAGGGCCATTCTCCATGCGTGTGAGTGAAGTATGGGTTGGGGTTTCTCGTGGGCCCTGTGTGTTTCGCAGAGGTGGATTGACCAACCAACCAACATCTGCTCATTGCAACGCCGTCCCTTATGTTTCATCTTGAGGAGTCAAATGCCTTCATTGTACTCTTCAGAATCCGAGGATTGACTTGTGGGAAGGTTGATTACAGCATGTGCCTTTAGGTACTGATTGAGAATGTGCGTATTTTTCCACTCTACCAATTGTGGTTTAACTCAATGTTGTTTTCAAGACATTCTGATGGATCCATGCATTCCAACCTCTTGTGCTCAGGAACTGTTCCACTTGCTTTGTGTATTAGGCAGGTGAATTATACATATGTGTAAAAACTTGTGTTGTATGGTAGACTGTAAGTCCTGCGGTGATTTTAATGTTGTGTAATTTTTGAGGATTTTGCTCTTTGAAATCGTGCGAGCATAATATTGGACTCTAAGAATCGTTTTGAAGACCTGTACTGAGAAGGTCACAATCATGGGCTATGGGGTAATAAACTATATAAACAGAATATCAACACAAGGTGCAACAAAATGAACATTGGCAAGGGGTAGGATTAGATAATTAATGCCTCGCCGGAATGCTTTACATTTTCTTTTCTTTTTTTAATTGATGTATATGCTTGAAACCAAAAAGTGTTGACGCAGATTCATTAGATGTGCTGATAAACATTTTAAAATCATTGACTGAATTCAAACGATACTTCAAGTTTCAGTCATAATGAGAGCTATTATGATAAGATACTTCATAAATACATTAGCGATATGTGAGCTACTTCCAAACATTTAAAGCTTGAACATTTAAGATTCCTAAAACCAATGAACAGATCGGTCAGAATGTGACGACAAAGGACGCTTTCTGAATGCTTGTTAATAAAGAAAAAACTCAGAAACTGTGTCACGAAACTGAATCTTTACATGAGTTCCAACCACAATTTGAACTTGTCAAATGTCCAACACTGCCTATCACATGCCTTGACTTTGCAGTTATTGTTGGGTGTGGAAATCTCGTTTTTCAACAATTAATGCAAAGCGTTCATGGGTATCTAAAAAAAGAAAAAAGTGGCCATAGGATTCGGATGAGAGTCGTCGCTAGTTTGCAAAATTTCTTACCATCAGCATAGTTCTATCAACAGTGTGATCAACAAAGCAGGGCATCAGCACAAAAATAAAACTGTTCGAAAGAATTCTCTAGTTTAGTCAACTAATCAAATATATACCTCCATACACGCACATACCCTGCAAAGCCCGTAGAGAGCACTCACAATAGTTTTCAGAATAACACGTAAAACACTGAGGATTAAACACAAGGTGTCATCCTTACGTGTTGGAATAGCATTAGAACAGCGCAAAAAACATTACCGTTTCAGAGAAGTACTAAAAATGAACCATTTTTTCACGAGAGTATTGCTAGGTTCGTAGGGGTCACGCACTTTGGATTTGCTACCTCGTTCAAGACCGACGTGCTTGCTGTGCAGTAGCTCGGAGCTTTTAGAACCGAGCTTTCCCATTACAAATTCTCTTGCTCGCGTGGAAAACATCAGACTCACTGATGTATGAAGGGGTGCTCCTGCATACACACAAAAGACACCACTTTTTTTGCAATGGCTTCGGATAAACCTTCCGTGTGAGATGTTTCAGAAGTCTTCGTACGACTGCATAATGTAAATTACCTCCTCCCCAGCATGAACCATACATGCCATCGCTTCTGGCAAGGAACTTGGGAAATATAGTAACATGCACTGCCTAAGATCCGTTCAAGACTGTTCGAGCTCAACGTAGATCCTGCATTTCAAATGATTAGGTCGTGATTGCCTGCAAGCCCAGAACGATCTCGGGTAGACTTGGAAAAGATGCCTTTTCCAAAGTCAGAGTTCTCTTGACATTTCGGAAACTAGCTGACACACAGGACACGATCGATTTCTAAAAACAATTCATCTGTAATAGGACGCTGACTGGCACAGACTGAACATGGACAGGTCGGACGGAACCACTTTGAAACTGAAACCTTGATAAATCGGAAAGTACGGCCTCTTCTTATGAGATCCATTCGTTTCTCTGTGGAGTTGGATTTCTTGCGACGAGATCGATGAAATTCTTTCGTCATGGGGACTAGACTTCTGCGCGCTGGACGTTTGCGATACGCCAACGTCCCTTCACCAGATCCAGCGAAATTGCCTCGTTAAACTTTCGATTAATCAGACAATTAGAATCATAGATTAGTTCATCTTCACGGCCTATTGTGGGAATAGAGGTAATTGAGAGAGTGTGTCACTTCAGTGCTACGGTATGTTATTGAGATACATACATTCAGGCGGCATAAAAGAACGTGTAAAACGTTTCTCGGATGTAAACAGAGACTACTCATGCCTCAAAACATCGCGGAAAAATGAAGTTCAGTGAGACAGAATCAATAAACTAATGCAAATCATTTAGCTAGTGAGAGCCCAAGATTGCAATGTGATAGTGTGATGCTCGTGACATGTGTAGTGCTAATAAACAAATGCGCTCAGGGATAGAATTGCCCTCAGAGACTTCACAAATGAAAACCTGTTTCTGCTGATTGTCAATATGCATCTTGAATAGGATTTTGCATTGTCTAACATGGCGAAAAAAACTAACACTATTGATATGAGGATCGAGCATGACTTTGATACGAGTACATGCTCGCCTCACGGTTAAATGTTTTTGCTCGTAAAATTGGTCGTCCTGTGTCAAAACCCGAAGAGTCCATAAAAGAGACATGAAACACAGTTTTAATACAAGTCGGGCACCAGGATATTGATAAAGCAGCTTTACTTCAGTTAAAGATCCTGTGGCATAATGTCACAAACCGTAACCTCGCGGGTTGGATACCACACAGAATAACCACATAGAGCTTTCAAACACAGGCTGCTGTACTTCGAAGTGCAAAAATTAGAACTCATTCAAGGATCAACCTCTGGAACCAGCCACTCCACAAACTACCATTTCTTCTGAAGGACAAGCTTGCTTTTGCCTTAGCTTTGGGTCAAACCGCGGATGAAGTCGAGAAATTCCTTAACCAGTTTCGTTGTCCAACACAGTAGCAATTTTTTCTGTTTCTAGCCTCATAGAAACAGCTTCATGCAGAGAGCTTGGAGTTAAACTATACTCGTGCATCGACTCCAGCCTGCTTTCCGTCACAGGCAATAAAATTTGATCAATATGAACAATTCGTAAAACTGCACCCTCGAAAGCGAAAATGGCTGCTTGTTTCATGTCACTAACCACGAAAGCCGGAGAAAATGCCGGACTAAATTCCTACAAGCAATCTACGCAACTGCGATAAGGAGGACGTATATTTGAAAAGGTTTCCAGGAAAATACGGCCATCAAAACACACATCACGGACGACTACCATGGTCTGACTTCAGCTCCAACTTTGTAAGTTCTTCTACTTACTCTGTCTCATCCCCACCCATGTCTCATGCTTCGACAACGCAAAGGTCTCAACATTGAAATTATCAGCATCCAAAATTAAAATAAAAACAATTTATTACGTGTATATTCCTATATTAAGAATATAAAAGTAGAGGTTTTCAGATATTACATGATAGTTTGAAAAGTAGTAAAACATTACAATCAGAGATTTTCAAATCATTGTGAATTGACAATATGTATGCGTCACACAAGTACCTTTTTAAAGAACAATAAGAAACATGTGATAATAACAAAATAAAAACACAAAACACAAAACACAAAACAAAAATGTCACTATTATATCACCATCATTAAAAATAAAAAATAAAAAACTGTTGCATGGTCATGCAGTGTTTCTGGATGACAAAAAGTTGGATGTGCGCACCACCAAGTGTGTTTAGGTAGTCAATTGTAGGCACACTTCAAGAAATTTGGAATCTTGCACAAGGTCTCAAAATACTTTATTAATAGATTTTTTATTTAAGTGTATAGCACCAAAAATAGTATATGAGATAATTGCTAACTGTTATTTGTTTCTTTGAATAATTAAAAAGGTTTGGTATGCTGATAACAATAAATACTTAGAATCGTTTTGTAGAAGGAATGTCAAGAATTACAATAGGTATACATGATACAATGGTACTTCTGAAGAATTATGTAACATCAAAATGTATTTTGTTACATATTTTAAACCATAGCACTCAGAAAACAAATATTCTAATCTCTTGTCATTTAAGTATAAATTATTGAAGTATTCACAAAAAAAAATTAACTTCATTACAAAACAACAAGCATGTCATTATATATATATATATATATCTTATTTGCAAAATTATCTATATGTAAATATATAGCTATTAAAACAACTACATTACTTTTAGAATACGTATCAAAGAAAAAAAATTGTGATTTATATTTAAAAAATGATATAAATCTATGAAAGATGTAAAATATCTATTAATGAATGTTTTACTAATATGACCTAAGTTATTAGTTATATGATAAAAAATATTAAAAAGATCAAAATTTGTTATAATCAATGGTATAAAATGCACAATCAAGTTGCAACTTTCTGTACTTAAAACAAAAATGAGTGAAAATTTGATAATATTAAGAAATATTTTGCTTATAAAATACTATATAATAAAACGATTTAAAATTTATAAGATCTTTGGTAATATTTAGAGAAGAAGAATATATATATATATATATATATATATTAAGAAACAAAAAAACAAACTTGTATAAAATATATTTCAAGAAATATACTTACATATGTCTGCTTCTGTATAGAATAAGAACACAATTTTTTTTGCAAAGTAGTGTTAGCAAGGTCACAAGTATTTGTCTGCATTCCATAACATGTAATCCAGATGATTACAGATCTAAATGTTTTATGTTACATTCACTGGTCATTATCATATCACATCATTTCATGTCACAACCAATTTCAAAGAAAAAGCACAATTGAAACATTATGGTTTTATGTTCATCACTAAACCCAATCAATGCATTGCATAAAAAGTCAAATCCTAAACACAAAATTGGATGTTCCACAATGACATTATAGTGAAACTTCCACATTCTAATTTGATTGCAAATAGATTAAATGTATCCAAAAGAATGATAAAAAAATAAATGTCAATCATATGCTTCCAAAGAAAAAAAAGATACAATGACAAAAATCACGGTACTTATTCATCTTGTTTTGTGATTTAATTTAATTTAATTAATTTTTTTGCAAAATGATATCCAATAATAAGGGCCACAATAAAACACACCAAATTTACACGGAACCGAAAAAGTAACCATAAAGGGAAATGGAAGCGGGGTACTTTTTCGAGGAGGGTAAACTTTAGCGGATGAAGCTTCGTGGATGTGGGAGGTCGGTGCCACGGACCGACCTCCCTGCAACCAGAAATGCGGTGGACTTCGCAAAGTCGGGAACTAACCCTAGTTTTAATTTGGGGAGTGCAGCGAAGGAAATCGATGGCGGAGCAATTCGACATTCTTCGGACGTTCATTCACATTCGTGGCCACGACGATTGGCGGGCTATTGCTAGATTCGCCGAGATTCCGGAACAGTTAATGTGAATTCGGAGCCACGTCCGCTGCTCGAATGCCGGCATTGGGCGGGGGGATCGATGGAAGAGGAGATTTTGGTTCACACCGCATTGAAGCCTCAGGAAACAGGAGAAAAGCAAATCCGCATGCAGAGACGGTGTGAAAATTTCCAAGTGAGGATGTGTCAGCACCTTCGCAGGTGTCTGTCATCTGCGAGGTGGGTTCATTGAACGATACTGCCATTCACCGGCAGAGCCAGCCAAGCCCATCCGATATTTCCTGCCATTCACCCGCGGGGAACATAGTGGATACTTAATGCAGGTAAAAATCTGTAAATGAGAAGCAGATTTTTGTGTAAAAATTGTTGGACAGGACAGTGTGATTTCGGTTGACGATGTATGGTTTCGCGAAACAGGGGATCTGAGCCAGTTGTTTTCAATTTCTATCTGGGCACTGTTGCAAAGTACAGTGCTAATTGGTTCGGAAGAGAAGGACGGAGGGAGGGAGGGAGGGAGGGAGAGAGGGAGAAGAGTTGCGACTTGGGATGCAGCAAGCTTGATCTGGAGTGATGAGATGGAGCCCCGAGGTGACAGGCGGTGGAGCATCGTGGTGACTTGGCTTTGCGCAGACGCCACACCCCAGTGTTTCCGTGCTCGGCAGGCACACTACGGCTAGGGGAGGAGATATTCTGCGTCTTTATGCATCGCGGCCTGGTCGCTGTCCGTGAGTACGTGTCGAGCTCGTAGCATGTCCCTTGTTTATCGCTTTGGCCTTTCCTCATGCCAGAGTGAATTTTACCTCTCAGACTAGGTTGGGCATCGACGCCGAGGAGGGTAATCATGGCAGCTCGCAGTTTCGCCGTTGTTTACGCTCCTGACATCGCTGTTATTATGCTTGCCTCCAGGTTCTATCATCGAGTTATTGATCGTTCTTGCTGAATCACTCACCTCCTGCAGGAAAGAGGGGCACTTTGCGGCTGTGGAGGTGAGATTTGTTTGTTTTGCGTGTGGGTGTGCGTGAGAGAAAGGGAAGAGATTGTTTGTAGTTGCGTGCATTTGGAGACTGTCCATTCTTACAGTTCTGTGCGATTGTTTTGGTTCCAGTAGCTATGTAGGGTTTGCCTTGAAGTTCAGCGAAGCAACTAGCATTTGCGAATTGATAGCTCTTATTTCTCGATTTTCGTGTCGGCTTTATGACCTTGCCATTCTTGGGTGTGGAGCGGATGGGGCGTTTTCTTATTTTATTTAGAAATTTTGTGTAACGATTTTGCAACCATATTTTGAGAACTGGGGCGTAAGGCCATGCACAGCTTACCCCGTTGAGAGTGTATGAGGATATGTGTCGTGAAGCAAGCGGGGTCTCTGAAGACCCCGAGTCATCACAAGAGGTGCATTTTTTTATGGGAGTTTGGCGGAAGAGTGGTGGAGAATAAGGAAGATCTAGGAGTGAAGGTTGTTGAGTAAGGATTGACTTGTTAGGTTGATGTGAGCGGAGAAGCCATGCTATGTCCGGTGGAGATAGAGAACAGGAGGATGAGAACCTAGCTTGGAACGCATGTAGTCGGTGAGTTGATTAGCACTGTGGTCCCTTAGGTTTCCGTTTGAGGGAGTGAAGAGAGTAATCCCACTTTTATATATGCTTGAAAAATTGAATTTTTCAGTGGCACATAGTTGTGAGGGTCTTGTGTTTACGGCAGTACATTCGACTGAAATTCAGCTCATAGCTTCTGAAATTGAAAATATAAGATGACAGCACTTTCGCCGAATACCAAGAAAGCTGATGGCTGGACTCTTTTCGTGGGGAACCTTGGCAGCCAATTGGCTACTTTCTATTTTTAGATATACCCTACGCTGACCAATTTTCTATTGACTTAACACGGAGTGGTATTGGAATGTTTTGGCAGGATAGGGTCTTCGAGTATTACAAGGGATTAGATTGGGTTTAAGCGAAGCATCATACTCGGGCTGTACTCGGTTTTGTGTTAGAAGGAATCGATTCTAATGCTGTAGAGATTGGCTTGTAACGTTGAGGGTGGAATGCTGGCGGTAACGATTGTAGTGGTTTTATTAGAGGAGTAATGAGGTTGGGTCGAGCGATGTCGTGTCTGTGCGCAATCTATTCGCAAGGGGTGTGAGTTTTTGGAGTTTTGTGTGGATTTCTGAGGAGGTCGATTAGGAGCAGTTTCACCAAGAGAAAAGGTGGAGGCTTGCCCGCAGGGGCTCTTCTCGCAACGGCTTGGAGAAGGGAGAGTCTGCGGGTCAGGCTGTCTTCAGTACCCTCCATCGAGGAGACCGGTCTCGATGCCGTTCTCTATGGAGAGCGGCTGCAGGAGAAGCCCTCGCCGTCGGCTATCTCTGCTCGGAACGGGAGCATTCACGGGGAAGAGAGCTTCCACGAAGCTTTAGCGGCTGTGCACAAGGAGCGGGCGGGCATTAAGAAGTTGAAGAGCATCAATGTGAGTGAGAATAGTAAGTTAGAGCTGGAAAAGAGAAAGCCTCCGCAAGGGCAGGGGGAGAATGGAGCACGAAGCATTAGATTGAGTGGGCAAGGTTCTGCATTTGGCGGACCAATGGACGACGCGGACAAGAATGAATTGTATGAAAATGTTGCCGAGGCTTCGGAAGATAATCCTTCTCCATTACAGAATACTGCTGCTTCATCCCTCAAAGTGGATACAACGGAGAAGGCGTTGCCGTCTCTGGGTGGTCGACTGGGGGTTTACAGGTCCAATAGTGCACGGAGAGCCGCGAGCTCGCATTTGAAGTGGGACCACTTGTCTGGGATCGAGGAAGGTGACCTGGAATCTGCTGCGTCGACTCCGACAGAAAAGGACGACCATGAAGATCCCTTCGACGGTGCGGGATTGTTGTCAAGCGAAGGGGTGAGTAGATCATTCTTTTTAACATACAGCAATTTCAGACCCCTTAACTTCGCTTCAAGCTCGAAATGTGATTACATTTTGGATTCACATGGAAGTCTATCTGACATTAACTCTTGGCGCAATCTCGGGTGTTTTAGTGAATGCAATTTCATAGGTATGTTTCCTCGTTTTACATGTATCAGGCGGATGGATCTGGCACCCCCTCTTCTTCCGGAGGCAGCATTCGATTGATGCGATCCAATTCGGCGGCGCGTAATAGATGGCGACGCCTTCGGCACACAGTACAATTTGCAGCTCAAATGTCGCAGTCGAGGTAAAGTCTGATAATGCAGAGAAGAATGGTGAATCAATGGTCTTTAGGGTTGGCCGTTAATAATTTTTTTATGTTGAAAGTGAAAACTTCGACACTGTTGGAAGAAAGCTTATGTGAAGCCTGTACAGAGTATGGATTGTCAGTATTGGCATCTTGCAGGCAAGGCTCGACTGATCTGTTGGAGGAGAATGTCAACGAGCAACTTCACAGGGAAAGTAGTGTTACGGACAATTCTGGGGTCACGGGAGCAGCACCTTTTGACGGAGAGAAGACTGCTGCCACTCGTCGTCCTAGAGGAAGGAAAGGCATGGAAGGCATGTTAGTGCGGCACGACAAAAGATTCCTCACCATGTTGCAAGATTTTTACGTAGCCTGTTTAAAGGTTGATCTTTCATATCTCTTCTTGGTTAAAACCATGCAATCGAGAAATGCCCGATTTTTTTTTCCATGCTAAATTTGGATTTCTTTGGAAGGACACTGCCTTTGCAAAGCAATATCACTTTTTCATATTAGTTTTCTGGTATTTATTCAGATGCCTATGGGGCGGTTCCTTTTGGGCGTGTTTTTAGCGCCAGTAGCACTCGCGTTGTTGTTCACTCCTTTCTTTGTGATGGACATGGGAGGCCTTTCGTTTGATGGCACCACATTGGCCGAGACTGTGCCTGGAGAAGCCAAAGTTGCAGCGGCCTCTCGGCGGTTTTCTGCATTGCTCAATGTTTTCCTCTATGCGTATGTACCCTATCATTGACCTGTAGGGCCTTGTGTTGACGCTGGAGTTGATTGTCATGCTGGTTTAGACTGGCCGTGTTTTGTTTGCAAAGCTGAATGCATTACTGTTTTTCCAGGTTGTCGTTGTCCACCACGTTTGGAGGATCCCCTGTGGTTGCACTTTCACCCTATTGTTTGCTGGTGGCGAACATCAACACTCTTATGGCGCAGTTTCTTTTCGTATTTCTTAGCGGAGGAGGTAGGCATCAATATACTTTTGAACTCTAAGATTGATATGTCTGACATTAAATCACGGTGAAGTTGGTCAGTTTCTAGCTCTATCTTAGGGAGCTGTGCACTAATTAAATCCTCTGTTTCCTATTCTGGTAGTGTTTGCACGAATGTCACAGCCTTCACATCCTGTGCGTTGTTCCAAGAAGGCCATCATTCGTAGCGATGACTACGTATCAACACCCGGGGAAAAAAAGAATAGGCAAGTATATGTCAGGCTTCCATTTTTATGTTTTATTCATAATGATTTTCATTCTTTGATGTCAAGTTCTTCGAGTCAGGGGTGAATGATTAAAGTTCCTGTCACTTAAGGTGCGGAGTTTAGTTTTGTCAGTACATTGTCTGTTTCATGATTTTGCGGAACGTATTTGATTATTTTCCCTCTTTCTGCTGTCCTTCCTTTCTTTGCTGACGTTCCTGGACCTTGTTCACTTCTTGGCAGGGTTTTTGCTGTGAGGCTGGTGTTGACTGGTCCTGCCCCATGCGAGTTAGTGGACGCTAAAATCTGTTTGACATCTAGAATTTTTGTGAAGCTGCCTTCGGGGTCCATGTTCTGCTCAACACAGGATCTTGAACTTGTTCGACCTGAGGTTTTTCACTCAACTTTTCACTGTCAAGATGTCTCTCCAACGCATGTTTCAACAGCTACATTCTGTAATATGTGCCATTGCCCTTCTGTTGGTACAGGTCTCGTACTTGCGATACGGATTGATGGTAAGGCACATCATTGACAAAAAGAGTCCAATCTATGGTCATACAATGGAGACTCTGATGAATGGAGATGCCTCTTTCTCTCTCACAATCATGGGTTTGGAACGGACTTCTATGCAACCAATTTTTCATTTGGAGGTGGGTGGCGTAGCTTCTGCTTGTGAGAGCATTTTATTTATAATTTAATTAACATTTAAAATTTGATCTTTATTAAGTTTGATTTTTTTGATATCATGGATTTTGTCCCTGGATGTCGACGGAGTCTCAATTTGTTTGAGCATTTACATTGCGCTTGAATGTGCAGGATTACTTTGTATGTGACGGTGATGTTGTGTGGGATGGGGATTATGAAGATTTCATTCATATCAACAGGGATGGACAGCGTGTTCTGGACCATTCAAAGATTGATTCTCTAAAAGCCTTCAAGGTCAGTTGTTATTTTAACAGATTTATCGACATAATAAACGGCAGTTTGTTTAGTATTTTGCGACTAATTTTTGTTTGATGTAGCTATACTAGATGGATCGGTTGTCTTCTCGTTCTGCCTTTGCTAGTAATGATACAAGTTTTGCTTCTGCCTCTGCTCATGCTTTCAAACGTGTGGAGTTGTACAGGTCGGTGGAATTATTTCACAGGCTATCACTAGGATGGAAAATGACGTTGCTACTCGGAAGGCAAGGGAGGCGCAAGCGGAAAAAGAAGAGAAAGAGAAGCTAAAGGAATCGGAAGCGGAGGTCGCTGCTGGTGGTCCAGTGGCTTTCGAGCCACCAAAGCAGTGGATGAATTCGCTTCGTATAAGGAAGCTATGGAAGTCGAAATCGACTTCTTTCACACGAGCACCAGATTGGTGATCTTACTTATGATCAGGGTCGCATGTTTTCTGATTTGTAGCGTAGTTCTGTATCTCGAAATCGGTTGTGCAGTGGACCACACTACTTATACTTTAGTTTAAAAATTGAAATTTATCTGGACACCGCTGTAATCATTGTCTTAGACGCTGCTGTAGCTGCTTAGTGAGTTAATTCCTGGTCCCAAGAGGTGCCACGTAAACCAACAAATTGTTTTAGCAGTTTATTTTATCGGCTTACTCCTCAATCTGGAGATTGTAATGCACTCATCTTTCAGTACTTACTGTTTTGGTTCATGTCATCTTGAAACATCGTGCACCACGTGTGGTATACGCTTACACTTCGGAATAACTCTTCAGTGCGGAACGATTATACTATTCACAAACAAAGAAATGGAATTTTCTTCACCAGTTATCCACCAGGCACAAATGCACAACCTTGGGCCAAAAAGCCAAAAAGCCAACAAGAACGAAATGAGAGACATTCCGTGAACCTCACAGTCGAAAGAAAATTAGAGTTCAACGTCAATCCAACAAGTGCCGAGAGTGTCAGTGCACCATTATTGCCGCATCTGGAATCCAGTTGCTGAGGTCCAGAAGGAAGGCATCTTCTTTCACAATTTTAGTGGGAATACTGCATGACCAGGCGGAATTTATTGCAGGTACAAGCTGAACCCCTCACCAAAGCCCCACAATCAACCATAGCACCTATTCAAAAGACAAAGTTTTGGGCAAGTGGGTGCCGACCTTGAGAGGTTATCTATGCTCTGTTCCATGGAGAATATGCAGTCTTATCATCAAATGTGGGCCAGTCTACTCAAACCTCTGGACTCTGTACATGCCACCAGATGTAGCACATTCTATACGCTCATGCAATTACAACTGTGGGCTGAAGAGTAGGATCAGTAATGGCTTCCAAGTGGAGCAATGGAACAATAGTGAATTCCAAGGCATGCAATATTGAGCTACTAGAAAAGTGTCAATTGGTTTGTGGAGATGGTTTAGGGCTTGTGGGGCACATTGACATTGAGAAGGAGCATGACCCACATACATGCCAATCCACAAACCTGTGGAACCAGCATCCTCCTTTTGAATACAATGTCAAAAGACTTGATTGAATTCCAGACCCCAAATTTTCCACAAAATTTCAAACTCACCTTAAAAACTTCATTGTTCTTTTGTTTCATGATGTTGTTGTTGGCCCTTAACAATTTCTATAAGCATTCATGTGCGTTTAATAAGGGAAATGTTGTATAGACCTAGGACTTTACTAAATTGACCTCTAGATTCATTTCTCCACTATTGGATCTGAAACTATCCACTATATGAAATCCAACCATATTCATCATGATTACCACATTCTTTATCATGGGTAGGTTGATTTAGTAAAAACCTAGGTCTATTAACATTCTCTTTTGTTAATTGTCATCGTGGTTGCTTAATGTGTAGATTAATGTGTTGAAGTTGGTGACCCTAGAAATACAAATGTAGTTTGGGTGTAAAAAACATGAAAGAAAAGAAGCATGTGTATGTGTGTATTATTTAAGTAAGTTATGTAATAGTTTTTATTTTTTAAAAATTTTAAGATTTCATTTTTTGGAACCATAGTACTTTTACAATGGTTTTAAAATTTGAATCAAGCAATGACCATTGAATTTAGTTAATGATTACATGAATATTTATGGCATAAAAACTTCTAACCAATAAATTCTTAGTGTGTGTATGTGGATAAAGTATTAGGTTTTTTTATTTTAAAGGTAGTGTATCATTCAACCATATTAGGATTAAAAGTTGGCATATCCTTCGTGCATCTGTTTTTATTTCTATTAGTTTCTTCTGTGCAGCTTTTATTTTTATTTTCAATTTTTAATTATATATACTAAATTAAACTTTTCACATATAAAAAATACATATTAACTTATATTTTATTTCAATTTTTTTTATTAATTTAAGCTAGACAATATCTCCGTACTAATCACACTTCTTTATCTCAACAAGACCCATCCTATTTACATTTAATCTCCTCACTAGACATACTTATGTTCTTTGCCTTTAAACATATTAACCTAAAGGTTAGATGATAGATTATATAACAATAAAATATCATTAAAAATTACCTTAGTATGATGACTTAGTATGATGATTCCCACTAATTAAATTGGCGACCCACTAAAACACAATTTTTTTGGGTATAACCCTAAGTTAAGACACAAGCCCACGCTGGTGCGGATGTGTGCCAGGATTCATCCACGGAGTGAACATCCGTTCCACTACATTCATCCTCTCTCTTTCAAAACTGTGGGCCGCAACGGCATTTCGGCATCCAAGGATTCGTCGTGACGAATCCCACTTCTATGCCATTCGAATGCAACATTGTTGAGCTGATTTGCACTAGATCGATGATCGCCATCTCGCTGAATTCTCCCATTCCTTTGTGAATCCATCGATCATTTTGTGTCCAGGTCTTTTGACGCTACTGGGTCGTGATGTAGTGCCATTTCTCAGTGTGTTGTTGCGTGTCTTTGCTCACCCTTGCGCAATTGGGTCGATCGGTGTTTGTTTCATGTGATTGCTTTGAGTTTTCGTCCCAACGGAATTGGTGCATCGGCCGCAATGAACTACGATGAGCTGACGCGGCGGGAATTGCAGGCCTTGTGTAAAGAGCATGGATTGCCAGCCAACAAGACCAATGCAGTCATGGCCGATTCCTTGGCCAGCTTGCTCTCGGTAGCATGCCCCAGCTACTTCATTCTGTCTATAGCTTAATTGTTTCTGTGTCGACTTTGGGAGAGAAGGATTGCTCTCTTGGGGCACAATTGAGGTTTGCCAAGTAACTTCTGAAGGGATTAGGGGTTTATGTCTCCACCTGTGTGTCCGTTGTTTGTCCCCTTTGCTGTTTGTTGATGGCCTCCTAAGACTTGAGCGTAATGCAAACGGTTCGCTTATGGCGGTTGCAGGATTCGAATCAGAGCATTCGGACGCGTGCTCCAGTTTCTACTCCGCCCACGACCAAGTGGGCAAGCAAAACTAGGTCTCTGTCCAAGCCTGAGAGGCTGGAGACTTCTCTTGCTGCTCTCATATTGGCATCATCCGAGAAACCTCGAGGTAATGGCAGGCAGGATACGCTTTTGAATCAATCCAGGGATTTGCCACTGGAAAGGGAATTGTTTGTTAAACCCGCATTAGTGTTTTTGACGCCTACTAAACTTGCCCATAGTACTCTCCTGCCGAATACAACTCCTCTCCGGCGGAGGAAGAAAACTAGTGTATCGATTCTTCAGCCAGGCGCTGAAGACACAACCCCTAGAGATGCTACACAAGGTTAGGCCTCTCTGTGCAATTGTTATTTCCTAGTTTATCTGGGAGGAAAGTCAACTTCGGTATGAAACATGCTCAAGTTTCGAATGGCAGATAGTTCTATACGCACATTTGCTTGGTGTTGCACTAGTTAACACAGGAAGGTTACAACGGTTTGTTTCCTATGTATATGCGTTCGTTCATGTCCTCACTATTTCTTTTATCTTCATTTATTTCTTTATTTATGCAGTAGTTCCTGAAGACTCTAATGAAAATCTCAGGCTTCAGCATGAGGAGATAGAAATATGTATGAGTCAGGCAATCACGGGGTCGACGCACGAGTCTCAATTTACACCTGTTCGCGATGTTGCCAGAGATATTCATGGTGAGGGATGTCTTGTTAAAGTTGTTTTTAGTATCCTGATTTTGAACTAATGTCTATTCGTGAATCAGGAATGCAGTTGTCGAGTACCCACCTCATTACATTTTGAAATATGTCATTTACAGGTTCTTCAGAAACCAGAAAGCATATCCTACAGGATGTTGCGGAATCGAGAACCGATGCTGTGATAGAGCTGAAAGAAGAAAGGCAATTCGACCCCCCTCATGAATTAGAGCCTTTGACGAGGTCCTCTGCTCTTGATCAAGGTAACGCACCTGGTCTTCCTGACTTCCTCTCGAGGTAGTTCGCTCAGCATGACAACTCTACCGACGCTAAATTAACTTTATGCTAGACCTTTTTCCCTTTGATCACCAACAACACCTCGGGTGGAATGTTGTAAAGAACTCATAGCTATCTTTAAACTGCTATAACGAGAACTTCCTCGTTATGCCCAGATTGCCAGACCGAGTCTAGCTCTACACAGGAGTGTGTCCAACATGTCCTGAGTCCGCTTCTTCGAGTCACAAGTAACGTCGACACCTTGATAAAACGAGCCACTGGGATGCTGGAAAAATTTGAACAATGGAAGGTCAACATTTATAACGAAGTCGTTCACAACTCTTCAAGTCAAACGCAGTTGTGTGTGAAGTATGAGCAGCCATGTTCCATGAATTCTTCGTTTGATAAGAAAAACAATTTTTCTGAAAGTCCTTGCAAGAGTATGAGTTTACGGATTCGTCAAGCTGGCTACATTGGTCTCACTTCTCCACTGCCGGTACGATGAAAAACATTTTAATCTCCTAAGTTTGAGTGGCTGTTTCCCTTAGTTGATGGTTTCTGACTCCTCTCTCATGCGTCATTCCAGGACCGAAAGGAGGGCATATTGAGAGACTTGGTCTCGAATGTTAACACCCAAAGTATGTTCTAAACCTTGTCATGTGGGTCCCGACTTTTATTAGAGACTTTTGAGCAGGATCATGAGCTCATATCTATGCATGACGGAGCTGATCACGAACTTTGTGCTCACATGGGTCGGAACTGAATAGGAGCTTAGAAACAAAGTGCAGACTACACCGGTAGCCTTGGAAACAAGTAAGGCCAATGGGGATCTGAGCTGGCTTCGTCACCTGCATCTAAATCTACGACATGTAAGACAACTTACACAAGCACACGTGCAGTTTCGAGCCACTCAAAGCTCTGGGTTTGTCATTAAACCCAGAGCTCCTCGTTCATGAGGTGAGCGAGAGGGAAGAGGTGACGCCAGACAATTTGGTGCTTGAGCCATAATTCATGGGTATAATCTATCGAAGTCTTGTCTTGTAGAGCCTGATGCAGATCTTCTTTGGCTCTAATTTTTTTTATTTTTTATTGGAAAACTGTGATCTCTCAGTGAATCTGTTTTTGTGGAACGATCAACAGCTTTATCAAACTGAATGTAGGAACATCGCTGGTGTTCGAATTCAGCTTAATGCCTTCTGATATTCTGTTCTGAGGCTGTGTTTATATTTATATAAATGCATATTTATATATATACACACATTCGTGAGATGATAATTTTGTTCTGTTATACTTCAGCAGATTCAAGCATCAGAAAGAACTGGGGTTGTATTTTTTTTAAAACCTTATTTACAATTCAAGTGTCGATTTTCTTCATGGATTATATATGTTTTTTCCCCCTCGTATGGTTTCTTTTATCTGGAGTTATTGTTTTAAAAAATTAGTAATCAGCGTTGTAGGTGCGTAATCTCTGAGTGTGACGATTAATTTGAGTACCTTAAGACTGTTACTATTATTACTATTATTATTATTTTAAAGTTTTAGTTAACTTCTATCATTTCGTTTTGGCAATCAAGCGTTAATGTATCTCAAAACTAAAACTCATTTAGCTACATTAGGTCGTTACTAAACTTGCAACATGAGATAGATTTGATGATCCTTTCTTTATTTCCCCAAGCCAGGAACTGCTTCAAACAATAACTTCAACTCCAATGAAAGCTCTAATTGTCACATATTATTGAATAGATTAATGATGACGGTGAAAGCACCAAAATTACGTACACTGTGCTGAGAGGGTAAAATTTTATTCTTTTCGACAACTAATCTAAGATCAAATAATGTAATTTTCAACCAAGTATTTACATCTAAACCATTTTATTTTATGCTTTTTACATTCTAAATATCAGATATCAAAGAACTACACTTTATACTTTCAGCTTGCCACATTAAATTTAATTCTTGAAAAGATTGATATTGAAAAAATCAACTCTAATTTTTCTATAATAACTCTAATGGTAAAACTGTAATTTAACCAAAATGTTAAATTCTCTTTGGAATGAAATATAATATGTTTTTATTATCATGGTAAAAATCAAATTTATACCTGCACATTTGTAGAATACTGAAGCATCATTTTAAAAATATGATAAAATTGGTACTAAAATTATTTCTTAAAGAAATTGATGTAGTTTCATGAATATTTGAATGAATTAAATATTATATATATATATATATATATATATATATATATATATTCATGCAAACATGCATACATTCTAAGTTACAATTTGGTGCTTTAATACACAACTTATTTACTACCAAATGGACCAGGAGTATTTTTAAAAATCCATAACATTTTTCTCAACTAAAATAATTGGTTACTAATAAAAAGTATAATGAACAAGAGAAACCTAAAATAGCTTTACAACCGCTATATTAATGTATAATCATTGTCACTTTTAAAACAAGACAAGGTCAAATACTATCCAATCTATTAGTTTATAAAATAAATTATGTAAAAGAATTGATAAAATTAAGTCCAATTAAATGGAACTGCACCATATCAATTTGGAAGAATCCTAACATTGACCAATTAAAAACATAGACCATTCAATTTTTTTAGTTGATTATTAAAAAATATTATTGATTTTTTAAATAAGCAACTAAAAAAATTTACTTAATTTTTTGAGCATAAGATTTTTCTTATATGTGCCAATACCATTAAAAAAGAATCCTACCTGAGCAATACTTAACTCAAGTTTTAACTCTTCTAGATAATTAATATTCAGTTAAGTTTCGTAATAGCCATATTAATTGATATTTTAAATTTGAATCAATGCAAAAAACAAACTACTCTCTGGAATCCATCTTAAAACTACCTATTTGATAAATAGAAGTGCTCAAAGTTGACTTTCACTTTGAAAAAAAGAATGCAAATATTTAATTTTCAAATTACATAGAAATTAAAACATAAAATTCTTCAGATATATTTTTCTTTTACATTATTAAAATATTCTTATTATAATCTAAAGTACAATCTTATTAATTATAAGATAATAATCATTGTAGTATTCAACTATTTAAGCTTAAAGTTCATAGGTATATATTTTAAAATTTTATTATAAAAATTGTCAATAATTCTACCTATAGACCATACTTTACAAAATTTCTATCTAATCTTATCACATTACAAATTTTTTATAAATCCATTCCATGAATACATTCAATTTGTTAAAATTGTTATATATCATATTAAGTAATATTAATGGTTAGCCACTAAATAGTGATTTATACTTTTACAAATTGTTCTATGTGAGTTGTTGGATCTTCATTGATAAATCTATTAAATCTTGAGAGATTGGAAGAAATAGATATTTCTTGCAAACTTTAAGGTATAATAATAGATCTTTTCTTAAATAACATCATTAGATCAATTTGGACATTTGTTACAAGATTTTAGTTACTTTTTTTGGCTACATTAGCTCTTGGAATTGGAAATGGTAAAGAATCTACTTGAGATTCTAAAATCTCATGGCCTATATTATACTACATTCTAACAAAAGCTTATGACATATTATCAAAAACTTCTTTTAACAAGTTAATTAATAAAATAACATTTTACAACTCTATTTTGGTTTGTTAAATGTATCTAGAGCACAAGAAATAGCTTGTAATAGATTTAGGTACTTTAGACTAAAGTATGTTTGACATAAAATTAAGTATATAATTTTAAATTTAATTTCTTAAGATAAAAAGACCTATTGAATGGTTCAAAACAAAAACAAATAAACTTCTAATATTTTTTATTTTGATTTTAAAAAATAATATATATATATATATATATATATATATATATATATATATATTTCTTATTTTATTATAAAATATGTGATTTAATCATGTATTAAGATGAAATCTTATATCAATTTCAAGTCAATATTATCATCTAATAATTAATTTATTTTTTACAAGTAATACATGTTTCAATTAATTATTAAATTAAGATCTTATGCCAATCTTAAAATGGTATAATCATATATTAATTAGAATTTGTTTTACAATAAGAGATTGAAAAGTAAGGCTAAGGAAATTATATGTAGTTTTAAAATTCTAACATGTGGATACTATAGAATGCACATTGATTATATAAAACACAACTTATGGGAGAACTTACAACAATCAATTATGCCTCATAGGGATTATCACTTTTTGTAAGTACAAATTCAATAATGAAATGAAATCATACTTACCATTAATCTATTTTTATTTTTATTTTTATAAAACATCTAAAAATTTAAGAACCTATGACAAATATAATATTTTTTATTTTTATAATAATAGATATAAAATAGAGAGTTTTTTTTATGCATATAATTAAATAGTTTGAGTCTTTGATTACATTACGTGGTAATAGAATGGTTAAGCAATTAACTTTAGGACAATAAGTTTTTCTATGCTCCTTTCTAAGTATATCTAAAGTCTTAAATAGAAAAAAAAGAAGCTAAAATTTAGAAGCCCCCTAATTTTGCCAAGTTGTGTTTTTGTTTTATATATTTACTTATTTTCTAAAGTTTTAGATAAATTTTAACAACTAATATTTGAAACCTTCTTTCTTTTCTAATTATTTTTGTTTTTTTTGTTTTTGTTTTTGTTTTTTTTATTATTTTTATTTTTTTATCTATATTTAAAATATCAAATTTGATAACTACAAGAAAAAGTTTGATAGTTACTAAGATTGTTCTTTAGTAGTTGGTGTTGTATTTCAATTCCAATTTTTATTTTTAAAGAGATAATTAATTAATTAATATAATAAATAGAAACCATACATTTGGAAACTTCTGCAACACCTCATAAAAATCTTATTCTCTCTTCAAATCCCTCACATTTTTTTACGATAGATGTTTGTTTAGGACTAAAAAATCACAAAGTCTTAAAAAATCACAATGTCTTAGTTTATTTTATGGAAAATGATTTTGTCAAAAAAAAAAGAAATTTTCTTAATCAAAAAAATTAAATCCATACACATAGAAGAATTAGATAGTCTTTTATTATCTTCTAAAGATGTTATCTATGAAACTATTATTTTAGATGAAACTATTAATGGTTAAAATAATTCAATAATATTTAATATAATTAGATTTTCTTTCAATCCAATTATTTTAAAATTATTGTAATTAAAAAAAAATCTTCAAATAAATTAAAATTTTCATAATCTTAATTTTTTATTTATTTAAATCTAAAATTTTATTATTCAAATAAAAATCTATAAGCCTAATATAATTAAATTCTTATTGATAGGTGTAAGAAATTTTATGCATGCTGCAAAAAAAAAATCATCTTTTATTATATATGTCACATTTATTTTTGTTGGTGAAAAGGCTATAAGGGGCATTCTAAGTTAGTGCTGAGATTATTAAGATGTTTTTGAGAAGAATAATGCAAATATTTTACAAAATTATTTTTTTCTAATAATTCAATTAATCTTTAAGAAGGAGCTAAACTGCTATTTGGACCAATTTATAACTTATTCTATAATAAGTTGACTACATTTAAGAAATACATTGATAAGAACTTAGCTAAGAACTTCATACACTATTCTAAATTTCTAATAAGTGCTCTTATTATATTTTTGAAGAAAAAAGATGGATCCTTGTAGATGTGTATTGACTATCAAGGACTCAACAAGATTACTAACAAGAATATGTATTCTTTATTTTTAATTTCAAGACTTTTTGATCAACTCAATCAAACAAAAATCTATATAAAAATAATTTTATGAGAAGTATAAACCTTATTTGTATAAAAAGAAAGAGATAAATAAAAGACTACATTTTGAACTGAGTATCAACATTTTTAATATAATTTCACGCCTTTTTGACTTACAAATATACCAATTTTTTTTCAACATCTAATAAATGATGTTTTTTGTAATTTTCTTGATGATTTCATTGTTTACTATCTAAATAATATTTGAATCTATTATAAAAACATAAAAAAATGAATTTTATATTTATTGTGTGTTATATAAATTTTGAGATATAAGATTATATACCAAAATAAAAAAAAATATGTATTTCATACTACTCAAGTTGACTTTTAAAGATACATCATTTCAAACGTTGACCCTATAATAGATCCTAAAAAGGTCTAGACTATCATAAATTGGAAGACTTCAAGAATAGTAAGAGATGTGCTATATTTTTTTAAGATTTACTAATTATTACCAAATCTTTATCAAGATTTTTTTTAAGTTGCAACTTTATTTATACATTTGATTTTTTAAAAAAAAATTTAAGTGGAGTAAAGAAGTTGAAGCATCATTTGAAGTTTTAAAGAAAATATTTATTTTTGCACTAATCTTATATTGCAAAAACTTCTCCAA